GGCAGAGACTCCTGTGATTTGCTGTTTGGGGACCTACCAGCCACCCCTTCTTGTCTTGATAGCTGTGGCTCGAGTTCCTTCTGGGGATTTACTCTCCCCCATAGGGTAACAGTCTTCCTGGGGCCCTTTATCGGCTTCCCAACAGACCAGAAGCAGCCTTGGTTTCCTGCTCAGTACCTCCCAGAGCGGATTGTAGCCAGAGCCTGGCAGGGTGCTTGGCACATAGCAATGCCAGTAAGAATGATTGAAAGAATGAGCCGAAGAATGGCATTGGGGCCAGGCCCAGGCTTTCTCTGAATCTCCCCGAAGCCTCTTGCATGCCTGAGCCCGATGGGACCCTGGAAGAGCAGAGTGATTCCCGCCCAGCACTCTGAGGAGACTCAGCCAGCCCTGCTCTCCGGGTCCTTGCTCCAGGTGGCTCTGCTTGAGGCCTGGACCGCGGCACCTGCCAAGGAATTCCTCTTCCATCTGCTTGAGGCCAAGTTGACTTTGTTGCTCACTGGTTGAGGGAGGCCAGCTGACGGCGGCTTGGCGGTGAGGAGCCCCCACCTGTCAGTGGCACCATCTGCACACCTGCTGGCCAAACTGCCCAGCTTGTTCACAAGGGCCACTCCCAGCAACCCAGGTCAAGGAACACTGATTATTGCTGTGGAACCAGTGGCAAGTTCACCATTGTTACTGAGATGTTTGGGGGTCTGAGGGATGAGGCATTCATAAGGGAGACATGGTTCCCCCAGATTGGGAAGTGTGCCCCGAAGCACCTGAGTCTCTCCTGGAGCTGCGTGGGTCTTGTCCTCCTCAGACTTTCGAGATGGGATGCTGCTTGTTGGGACGCTGGCACTGAGCCCAGGTTGGGTGTGAGGGGTGCTCATATATAGGCGGCCTTTGCTCACTCCGCACCCACTTCTGCCTTCGAGCTCGGCCTTTGAGCGCATTAGCTGGGGGCAGTGCTGTTGTGCAGACTGTGGGCCTCTCCTAGTTCTGCGAGGCCGGGAGATCAGGGATCTGTGTCCTCAGAGGTCCTTGGACAGTGCAGGCCTTATTTTCCAAGTGGGTGTAACTGTTTCCGGCTGCCCCGAGGCAGATGGGACAATGAAGTAGGCAAAGCCTCCCGGGCTTTGCTTGTGTGTAGGAGGGTGGGTGGGAGGGGGCGTGGGGGTGTGTGTGTGGGGTGGAGCTCTGCAGAGGATGCTCTCTCAGCCATCTGTAGCCCCCTCAAGCCAGGTGAGTGCTCTGGAGTGTGGGAGACCAGGGCCTGCCTTTGGGGTTTACCATGCCTCCCCCACCCCCAGCTGAGATGTGGGCGTCCTGACCGTGGCGCTGGTCCTCGGGTGGGTGGTCACAGCGTGAGCTTACACACCTCCTCCTTGGCTTGGTTACGCCTCTCCCCACCCAGCTGAGAGCTCTGTAGAGCAGGGTGTTGGCACCCAGCCTTGCCTGGAGCAAAGCAGGTCTTGCATGTCTCATTACTGGATGAGTGGGTGCGAGTCCGAACTCCCTGGCAGTCTGACTTCCTGGGCCGGCTCCTGGCTGGGGCACCTGCCAGCGGTATCTGGCACCATCTGTGGCCTCGACAAAGTCATCCAGGCTGCAGGGCAGAATCCACACAGCCCCTCGCTGGCCCACACAAAGTGATGCTCTCTTCCCTGGACAGTGTCCCTGGAGGAATGGGAGCGGGTCTCAGAACATTGCAGGGGCCCTGCAGGGAAAGGCTCATGTGGCCTTGAATGTGGCATAGGTGCAGGCAAAATCACCAAGAGACAATGGGTTACCAGGTACCCCCATCTCTGGCCTCCTGTTGCTCCCAACTGCAGGCTCCCCTGCCTCCCTTTCCTGCAGCTTCCCTCACTCTCTGCACCCAAAGATTTCTACAGCCCAGCTTGGCTGACCGCCCTGCCCAGATCCCACACAGACCCACCCCTGCCCAGTCGTTGGCGCCCAGGCCCAGGGGAGGAATCCGTGCATGCTAGGCTTTCTCACACGAGAAGGGAAAGAGGGTTCTGCAAGCTCCCCTTAATTACCTTCCGCCTAAAATACTCAAATCTTACTCTATGGCAGTTTGGCTTTTAATTACAAGTTACCATTGCAAAGATAAAGTCTTTGTAACTAGGAAAAACAAGGGAGGTTTTAAAAATTACCATTGAGATAAAGACATTTTTAACACACTGAGGATTTGCAAGTGCCTAACAATAGCTACTGAACTTCCTTTGTTTGAGAAACTGGTCTCCACTCCTGCCTACCGCAAAGCCCGGCCTGGCTCTGTCTGGTTCTTTTGCTGTGCTTGTGAAATTGACAGGGGCGGCTGGCCACCCCAAAGCTTGTGACCCTGTCACAAGGCAGGACTCCCCGAGGCCTCCACTTACTTCCCAGAAACTCCTTAAACTGTAAGTGCGCGGGGAGCTGAGGAGCATCGCTTTTCACAGCAGCAGAGCAGAGGCTCACGAACTGGGAGATGTAGTGTGGCCTCTGTGGGCGTGGGTCACACCTGCGGCCCCGGGTCACACCTGCGGCCCCAGCTGCACCCTGAGCCACCAGGGCACAGCAAGCGGGAATGTGTGTGGGGTGCTGGCGCGGCCCTGGCCCTGCGTCAGCCCTCAGCTGTTCATCTTCTAACTTCATTTCCTCACCTTTGGCTCTAAGAAAAAGGGGTTGCCCAGACCCCTGTTGCTCAGGCCCCGGCCAAGCTTCCAGGGTAACTCTTGCTGCTCCCACAGTTACAGCAGAGGGATGAAGAATGGTACGGAGGGGCCTCTGTGACCACTGCGGAGCTCAGCCAGGACAGGGCAGGACACGCCCTCCCCTCCGCCCACAGGCAGGCGCCCAGGGGAATGGATGTGGCAGAGTTCTCTAACTGGAAGGATGGGGCCAGGCGTCTCCAGGTTTGTGTGGCCCTGGGGCACCTCTCTGTGCGAATGCCCCAACACTCACACACAGTTACACTGTGAAGGAGGAGGCTGCCCTGGGGCCCAGCTGGGACCCTCAGTTCTTTCCAGCTTTTAGAGCTGAGTCAGCATGAAGTCATCTCTCTCTCTCTCTCTCCACAATTTTGATAACTAAGTGGCTGAGAACTTGCCCCTGACAGACTGCAGCTGGCAGGAGAGTCTCTGTGGAGGAGGCATCGAGTTGAGGTGCTGGAGAGCTTTGGGGGCACAGGAGCCCAGTCCCAACCCAGCTCCGGTGCTCTAGCGCTGTGAGGCTGGCGCCGGCCCTGCCTCTCTGGGCTGCAGGAGCCTCTTCCACAGCTCAGGGTGCAGCACACCCCCCTGCCAACCTTACCCAAATGCCCCAGCTCGAGGCGGCTCCAGGCCACTGGGTCACCCACAACTGTTAGAATTGCTGTCTCTTTGGTGTCCAGGACCCAATTTTGTCTCTGGAGCTGTCTTTGCTTCTCCAACTCCTTGATAGGAGGCATCCGCTGACACCAGCAGAACAACCCCTGGGACTTCAGCCCCAGGATTGTGGTGGGTCCTTTGCCCAGCCCTGGCCACATCCTGAGTTTCCCTGCACCCTCACTTTGGCAGTTTAGCATCCCCCCTGCCCCGAATTGCGACAAGCAGGGTGGGAAGAAGGGGCGCAGGTTCCCAGAGGCAGACCCCTCAGAGTGAGCAAGGATTACGATGAGCTGTCTGCACACACCCAGTATTCAGGCAGGTGGGGAAAAACCCTGAATTTGGCATAAAAAATGGCCTGTTTCTAAGTCTCTGAACCTTCTTTATTCATCTGTAAGATCACCCCAATAAGAATACCTATCCTGGGCCCTCCCTGGTGGCACAGCGGGTTAAAGCACAGCACTAAAAAGCTTAAGCCACTTCCGCATGAGTTCGATCCCTGCCTGCCCTAGAGGTGACCACATGGCACGGCAGACCTCTCCTGACCCGCCCATTGCTCCCCTCAGCAGTGTACTTCGTCCATCTGCCTGTTCTGCTCCCCACTCTGTCCCTGGTGAATCCTCTCACCCTCTGCATCTCTGGCCTGTACCCCAATTCTGTATGAATAAATAAATAAATCTTAAAAAAAAAAAAAGAATACCTATCCTGATTACTCCACAGTGTGAGGCAGCGCTGGAAAAGGGTCAGAATTGGGTACTGGCCTCAGCCTGGCCACTCTGGCCACCTCTCTGAGCCTCACCCTCCTCCGCTGGGAAATGGGCACAAGCCTTACCTCGGAAAGCATCTTGATGGCAATGGGACGAAGAATGTACCGGGGTCAAAAATGAGGGCTGCATCTGTTTAGGGAGAAGGGGACCAGAAAGAAGGAAACCTGAAGAGTTTCAGATTGGAAACTTCGCACTGTGGAAGCAAGACCTTCAGGGCAGAGGAAGCAGCCAGATCAAGGGCAGGAGTGGGGTCCCCTGGGCCTGCACCTAGACCCAGGAACTGTGCTCAATCCTCTGACAAGTCATGCTTAATCCACGCAGGGGCCCTTGGCCCGGGAGTGTAACTGGTCCTCCTGGCAGGGCAGTTCCAAGGGGTTTATGCTCACAGGAGTGGACAGGCAGAGCAACAGCGGTGGCACTGGGCCCCAGGCTGGGGGTCTCTGCCGAGCGTGGGGCCGGCTCGTCTCACAGATTAAGGGGGGCTGTGGGTCCCACAAGCAGGCTCCTCAGCAGGGAAATGGCCCAGTGACCCAGACACAGCTGTCAGTGTGACTTCTTGCGCTCCGGGGCGATGTGGACTTTCCCCGCAAACCACTTTTGCATGTCACTGTGTAAACAAGTAATCTGGGGTGACGGCTGCCCTCCAGGATGGGGGGGGGAAGAGGTCGAGGCATGGTGGTGCGCAGGTGACTCCCGTGCTAGGTGAGTGTATCACCTCTTCAAAAGGCGGGGCAAACCTGACCAACCCGCCGCTGTTAGTTAACTGGCTAGTGAGCGGGCCGTGGGTGCCTGCTCCCGCACTGTGGGGGCCGACGTGCTGGTTTACGCCCCAGGGGCTCCATCCCGAGCTAGCCGGGCACATGTTTGGAGGATAAAAAGCAGAACACAACCATCATGTGCTGAAATACAAATTTAATAAAGCCTTTGATCACGTTTAAACATAAGTTATCTATGAAAACAAAAAACCCCACAACTTCTTAGAGCCATCAAGAGCCATCGAGGTGTTGATGAACACCAGCTATAAAAATACAGATTCAGTGTTTCAGATAGTGCAATAGTTCCAGCTGTTGGAAAAATTTAAGTGGAATTCCAAACTACCTTCTTCGTTACAAAAGAGTCCAAATAAAGTTGATATTGGTGCTTAGGAACCGCTCTCTCCCTCCACATTGGCTGCTTCTCAGGTAAGAAAAATCAGGACGGGACTGGACGTGGTGCGGTGGGTGGTTCTTTTAGGCCCCAGCAAGCATACGAACTGCCTGCACACACGGCGCTCGGCGAGCGCTTGGGGCTGCGCCGGTCAGAAAGGCGCGCCCACAGGAGCAGAGGCTGCAGCACATCTGCAGTAAATTCCTGCTGTCTTTGAACTCCCTGCCATCCTCCATGAAGCACACCACAGACTCTCTCTCCAGAAGCCCAGGGGCTCAAACAAGCCGGGGCCTGGGCAGGTCGCCGGCCCGGCTGCGAGTCTCCCGCGGAGGCTGTGGAGACAGGTCTTGCCTGCTTTGCAGCTCTCGCCAGTGTTTGCCTGTTGGGCGGGAACTGCAGGCCTCAGCCAGCGCCACGGAGCCGGCTTCACTCGGCGGTGGGGGTGCACAAGGAGCATGATGAGGTGGCAAGGGTGGATGGCCATCGACACTGCCTGCTACCAGGGTTTTCCCTGTGTCTTGAGGAAAGTTCTCATGATAGAGGGGAGGAGGGTGGGGGAAGTACATGGAGTTGGAAGAGAAAACAAAGTAAAAAGGACCAAGCCGCCCAGAGGGCATGTGACCCCCGCTTGGTAAGCCGCCATCAGTGCAAGGCCTCCTGCTTGGCCGGGCCAAAGGGGTGGGTGGCAAGACCGAAGCGTCCTGGGATTCTACAGTCTACGGAGAGGAAGTGCTGCCCAGAGGGCTGGGCCTCAGGCTAGTGTTTGCTCCTTACTAGATGGCCGCACCAGCAGGAACGCTGCAGGCCGCTTCGGAATGGCAGACCACGCTATCAGCCGAGTGCTGTGGAAAGCCAGCAGGTACTCCCGACACCCGGGATGCCACGGTGGATGCCGAAGACCAGAGCAAGCTGTGGAGGCTCCTGGCAGCTGGGCCTGCGAGGCCTCAGAGCACCTGAGGGCGGGGGAGAGGGGTGGTGCCGTGCGGGATGCGTGGCTCCGAGGTGGGCTCCCCAGTGGCACCTCTGCTTCCCTGGGGAGCCGGTGGGCCTGGCTGTCTGCCCAGAGGCTTTGTGGAGGGGTCGAACGGAGGCAGAGATTTCGGCGGGTGCACAGAGGCTTGGCCAGGCCTTACCTGAGTAAAGAGTGTTCAGAAACGGAAGGAGCACGCCTCACGCATGATAACTGTGCGCTCAGGCCCACGCATGAAAACCACTCTGGACCCGGAGTTCTGGGACTTGTTCATGCACAGCTCACTCACAAGGTCAAAAAGACAAACACTCGCTAAAAGACCAAATGATCAAAAGAGAAACCCCTTTGCAATCACAGGCCTGCCTGGGCTCTGGCCTCTGGAAGTAGGAACAAAGCACCAGCGCCGGCGGAATCTGGAGGTTTATTTTCAACACTCCCTCCCATTAGTGTCACCTGGAGAATGCTGTGCAGGGTTGTCATAGCATCCAAAGTTCTCGAGGCCACAGGGGATCTATGGCTATAGAGAGGACCTGGCGCTGAGGCCACCTGCCTGTGGGTCCTGCCCCCAGACACGCTGCTGCCTGGAGCGGAAGGTCGCAGGTGGCCCTGGGGTCCGCGAGGGCGTCGGGCGGGGGCGGCGCTAGGAGAGCTCGAAGCCCGTGTTCATGCTGATGGCATAGCGCAGCTTCTCCCGGAGGACGCTCTTCTTGCTGTAGTTGGGCAGCTTGAGCAGGTTGAAGCAGGTGGAGGAGGTGGGCAGGCGGCCGCCTGGCTCCCGCTTGCGGATGGTGAAGAAGCCTCGGAGCACACTGCCTAGGGTGTCCCCGGTGTCCTGCAACACACATGCGCTCGGGAGGCTCCAGAGGCGGGCGCCTGGGCAGGGCCAGTGCAGTGGCCGGGTGAGGGCCGGCGAGCCACGGGCGCTGCGCGGGGCACGCGTGCTCCAGGAGGCTGGCTGACGAGGGTGCACCGCCGCCCAGCGCAGCCCCTCAACTGAGGCGGCTGACGCTGACAGGTGAGTGCAGACACCCAGCCCTCAGGACCCGCAAGGCATCTGTATTAAATGCTCGGAAATGTGGCCTTCTGGTTAACAGCTAATTATTAGTTAACAGCTTTCAAAGAGCCAAGACACTGTACAAGTATTGTAGGTACTAAAACATTTCTGAAAACACTGTAACATTTCCTTTTGACCCCCACCCCCAGCGGGCAGAGCAGGCAACAGCCAAGATCGGCCTGAAGTACCTGATCATCCGACACTTCAACACAGCGGATGGAGAAGGGAGGCTTGAGGTAGGCGAATCCCAGGAGCGGGGGCCTGGAGCAGCTGGTGACAAACTGCAACACAAGGCAAGTTGGGGACAGTGGGGCGCTTGCTCCCTCAGAAACATTTTGCGCTCTAGTCACCATGTCATCAACTGCTGGCAGGATGGGTGACAGTGGGCGCATTTAGCTCAAAAGCTGGGATGTATCTCCTGTCTCTCTTAAGGGAGTTGCTCTCAGAAGCAAAATCTCATGAAATACACAACAATGGACATGACTAGTCTTTGTGGCGGAGGCCATGTGGCCGAAGAGCTCAGAGGAAACAGACCTCCAGCCCAGGCGGGCGCCCGGGGACCCGCAGGCAGGCAGCAGGACCCGGAGCTGCTGGCCGACACCTCCCCAGGGAGACCGTCGGCGTGCGGAGAGGAGGGCCAGGCAGCGCTGGCGCGCTCGGGAGACGGCGTGCCCACAGCCTCGCCTCACCGCATGGGAGGTGGCGGAGGTGTCGATGGCCCGCAGTCACAGCCACTCAGGGCAGGCAGCAGCGCTGGCACCGGGACTGGGGAGGGAGGGCAGCGGGGCAGCGGGCAGAGTCTGGCCTTGGCGGTCCTGGGCTAGAGGACCTCATGGGCTCCTGGACTGCCGGCCCGAGGCGCCCCCGGCCCTCGGCACAGCAGTAGGGACAGGCCATCCAAACACAGTGGTGCGTGCCCACTGGGTCAGCTCACCAGGGTCCCATGGCAGGGGTGCATGTTGCCACGCTACTGAGAAAGGTGCCCAGAGGAGGCCCTTGGGGGGCAGGAATGAGGACTATTTAAGAGTTGCCTTGTCTGCATTTTCAGGAGGTACAGGGATAAGCGCCATTTACTTGTCTCACCAAAGGGAGCCAGAGAGGTGCTGGCAAGGCCCCCTGGAGCGGTGAGGTGCTGCAAGGAGGTGGGGGTGGGGGTTGGGGAACAGGCTCAGGCCTGCCGAGGGTTGGCCTGCCGGCGCCGGGGGCCACTGAGGGTGGAACATACACACACCTTCAGAAACATGGCTCTCTCGTTGGGCGTGAAGTCGGAGGCCAGAATATCCCAGAGCCAGATGATGACCCTGTGACTTCCATGGAAACCGCCGTAGTACACCGTGTGCTTCCTGCAAGGATCCAGATGAGGGCTCAGCCGCTGAAGCTGATGCGCATTTCCAGGCAGGGAATTTTAGAGAAGTGGCTCAGCGAACTCCAGCAGGCCTGGGTGTGTGACCAGGGGCCCTGAAAGCCGGCTCATGCCTACCCCCATCTCCCTGGAGTTTCAGAGCTGGCCCTACTGTTCCCAAACAGGAGCCAGCAGGAGATGCTGCAATATCATCTCCCAGAAGCTGCGAGAGCCCACCAGTTCGCCTGGCTCCCTCTCCACAGCAGGCAGACCAGTGTTTATTCCAGAGCAACTGGAGGCGGGAGCAGAGCCTTTAGAGATGGGCTCCCAGAACAACCCTCTAAAAGCGCCACGCAGGGAGCAGCAAGCTCCTGGGGGCCTGAGAGTCCCCCCCTCCTCCCTCACTTGCCCCTTACTTTAAGTCTTCCAGATCAATCTCAGCATTGTCACCGGAGATGAGCCGCTGTAGCTCAGGGGTTGAGAACATTCGGGTCCACTCGGGTTTGATAATGGAGCGGAATCCGCTGATGAGGGCTGCCGTCTGGTTTTTTATTTGTGTGTGCATTCGAAAATGTGCCATCAGGTGGATGTAGCTAATTCTGTTGCCAACAAGACAAGACAGTGGAAATTAGCAGGACTGGGAAGCTGTTACCAATGGCCTGAAAGGCGAGTCCAGTCACAGCTGCGCCCGCAGCGACACCACCAGCAGCCCAGCACTGCCCAAACGGGGCCGGCGCATCCTGGCAGCACACTGGGCTCCGCATGAGGCCACTGCTCCGGTCACGTGGCCCCTCCTGTGGCAAGATTCCCAGTGAAAGGGCCCTCGTAGCACAAATGGTACTTGTTTTGACTTTACTTTAATCCTTTTGGACATAAACCAATTAGATTAATCCAGGCCTCCAATAAGCCTTGCGGCAGAGGAAAACTGTTTCATGCTGAAACTTCAAAAAAAGCCTTGTTAATCTGGCAGAGTCGAGACCGTGAGGAGGTAAGATGCAGCGGGTCTGTGCTGAGGTTCAATCGGGAAGTTAGAGCGCTGACAGAGGTCCAGAGCGCAAAGGCCTCGTCTCCACCTACACGGTATAATTCTTTGCAACAGCCTCAATGGCTCTGCTGATTTCTTGGCAAACCATTTTACTCAGAGATGAAAGAGCCTGAGTCCAGCCCAGGTACAACTCTCAAAATACCAGGATGTGTGCAGTCCAAATAAATCTGTTTTACTCCATAGTGCTGAGTTCTAAATGACTGACCTTGAAAATAACTCTACTAAAAAAATTATCCAGCAGCAAACTTGCACATTATTACACTTAAAAATAAAATAAACCTTCCTGTGATGACAACTCTTTTCATGGGTTTGAAGCAGGTTACTAACACTGCTCCATTTCACCAGAGAGGGACCTTCCCAATCCACACCCAGGAAGTGCAAGGTCAAGCGTCTCCCCTGAGGTGCTGTCCGCCTTTTGACAGTCTGCAGCACCAAACACCTCTGTCCTCATCCTGAGGATTTACGCTCAGACACAAGAGTTTGCAAAGTGACTTTCTATTTAGAAGGTGGCAGGGCAGAGTAGGGGTCCCATCTTAAGACAGGCTGCGTCGACTTGCTCTCTCTGGCTGCCACCCATTCAGCTCCAGCACCACCCCAGTGCCATACTGCTGGCCAAAAGGGACTGATCTGGAGGCAGCTGCCTTTGTGTGACATGTCACCAACTGATCTGATGATGGCAACAGTCACTGCTCTATTTATTAAGCCCCTCCTAGGAGGAGATATCCTGGAGGGCTCTTAGACCTGTTGCCTCATGTGAAGACTCTGAAGAGAAGACTGTAGGGCACATGGTGGGCAGGACAAGTATCTGGCCCTGCTCTCTGATGCCCAGGCAGGCTCTCCTGCCATGCACAATGTTCTTCCTCAGCTGTTAGCTAATGCCCTGTGGCCAAAGGCAAAGCCGGTCTGTTTCAATCATGCCGAGAACAGGGTCTATTCTTTTGACCGCTCTACAGTCCAACTCAAAGCCCCCAGGGCACTCAGATCACCTACCAGGGGGCCCTAATGCTCACAATAGTACATGCAACGTGCATCTGACCCCAGTGACTCACCGAGTGGGACTGGACTGGGTTCTCACTTGTCACCGAAACAAAGTCATGCTCAGCTGAGCCTGGCAGCAAGGGCTAGACTGGCGAGAGGGCCGACACTAACTTCTCGTGCCTGTTTCTACCATTCTAATTAGGCTGGAGCAGGGTTAGGAGGAGACAGCGCATTGAGGGGCTTTGCTTTTAGACGTCAATGAGGTACATTTAGGATCGGCTCCTAGAAGCCAGTTAGCTGGGCAACAGCAGCATCTTTGCACCTTAGGACCTCTGCCACACCTGAATTGGTCACGGCGTCTCTAGCACAGCGCTTTGTACAACTGCCACGTGCTATCATTCCAAACTGATCGGCCTCTCCAAGGCGCCTTCCCACCCCTGTGCCCTCTGGGTTCAGGGCTGTGTGCCTGAGCGGCTGAGGACCCATCTGTCTGCATCCAGAGGCATCATTAAATTCCTAGGAACACTGAGGCCTGGGTGCCTCTGACCTTAGAAGAGCTACTGCAAAAAATAAATTGTCCATTCTTATTTTGCAAATCGAATTTAATAGGATTTCAGCCTATGAACTGTAACCAGTAAATTCCATTATGATATTTATGGCCTCGTTCTACTTCAATCTATCTTAATAAATTCTCAAAGTAAGCCTGGAGAGCCAGAATGAAGTCTTTTCAAGTGGTGACCTTAAAAATCTAATTGCTATACTCACTTATTTTCATTTGTAACAGGAATGGTCTTCCCTCCAGGAATCAGTTCATGGCAAACAAGCTGGGAGAGAAGATGGGAGCAATTACTCCAGAGAATTCTAACAGGGAAATAAAGCTTCCTGAAGATGAAAGGACCAGCGCCAATGTCCGTGACAATCACTGAATTGAGATGGGGAGTATTTGGGAGCCATTTTAACAAAGAGCCAGGACTTAAATTATCAACAAGCGACCCCACAAGGTCAGACTGAAAGATTCCTCCTCTCCCTTCCTTGATCAGATGCTTGTACCAGGGCGGTGGGCTGTCGTGGGGGGCACATGTCAGCCTTCAGGAGCACATGCAGCATGATGGCTAAATGTACAACTGTGCTCTCTGCATTGTGTAGTTATAAAAAATATGATGAGTGTACATTTCTTGAGAAGATAGGAACTAAGAAGACATAACAGTCTGCACCCTTTAGTCCCATTTCTATAAAAACAAATTATATGGGGGCCGGAGGGGGGGTATGTGTGTCGGAAGGCCACACACTGGCATTATAGGTGGTTTTCTTTTTTGTCTTCCCTGTTGAGGCCCATCTCGGGGCACCAGAACATCGCCCTTTCCGGGTGATGCATCACCTGTGGGCCGGCACAAAGAGCAGGGTCCTTGACAGGCCCGAGCCTGTCACTACTAGGTGCCCTCTGAATCCAGTAAGTGCCCCTCCCCTGCTGTGGGGACTCAGTGAGAGAAGCTCAAGGCTTTGGCTGCGCCAGATGCAGCACGTGGAGACTTCATTAGAAAGTTAAAAAAAAACCCACACACAACAAAATAGCCTGCACCATCCGTTACCCCCCCTTCCTCCTCCTCCTCCTCCTCCTCCGCCTCTGGTAACCTCACTTCAGCCATCCATGTCCACTAGTTTACCTCCATTTTGTTTTATCTGTTCACCCATTTTGTTTTCTGAGGTAGCACATGTAGGTGAGATCATCCCATATTTGCCTGGACTCTGGGTGGTTTTAATGTTCCTCTTTATGTCCATATTATCGCTGAACTTTCGGTTAGCAGTCTGGATCATTTTAATAGTCAAGAGAGAAAATTAGGAACGTCGGGAGTAAGGCTCAAATTTGACTAAAGATGTATTTGAAAACTGCAGAATCGATGTTTTCTCAACTCCAAGAAAAAAATGAGTCACCTAAGAATCACAGTGCATAATTTTAAGCTAATTTCAATAGCTCTGTTAGTATAATATTGAAAACTGTAAAAAACGTAGAAAGGAAAGCAGTAACCAGGCACCTGCCGCCGCCTCAGGGCGCACAGAGGATCTGGAAGCAGGAAGGCCCCTCCCCCTCGAGGCTCAGGCCGAGCTCCCCACAGGGCTCAGGCCCCATCTGAGCGCTACCCTGCGGGTCGCTTGTCAGGAGACATTCATTCTTCCTCTGCAGGGCGAGTCTCCACCACGGGAGTTGGGGAAGGCAGAGGTCACGGCAGCTACCCTAGTTTTCTCCCAGGCGTCTGGGCGCGGGTGTGCCAGCGTGTTGGGTGGCGTTCTGTGGGGGGGGGGGGGGGGCACAGTTCCCAAAGGTGTTACTGGGGTGTCTGGTGATACTGGTCCCATCAGACTCACATTCAGCCCACAGTGCTTTACTGACATAAGGACTCAGGAGGACTGAGGGACTTCTCTGAGGTGACTCGAACAACCTTCCGAGAAGTCAGCTGTGCACTAGGAAGCTCATGGCAGGGTTTCTCCAGAGCAGCCCTCAGCCCACGTGTGCAGAGGCTCAAGCTGGTGCCCCAGCATGCAGCCGGGGGCCCAGCACACATCATGCCTCACCGCCACGACTTCAGGGGCTCCACTTCCTGCTCTGCTCTTCATGAGAGGACTCTACTTGACGTACTTCTGAGGGGGCATCTTTCCACCCCCCTCTTTTAAAAAAGATTTCTTTATTTATGCATACAGAACTGGGGTACAGGCCAGAGGTGCAGGGCGGTGATTGGATTCACCAGAGACAGAGTAGGGAGCAGAACCGGAAGATCAATGAAGTACACTGCTGAGGGGAGCAGAAGGCGAGACAGGAGGGGTCTGTAGCACCATATGGGTCAGCTCAGGCTGGGGATCGAACTCACACCGAAGTGGCTGCAGTTGTCTTGTGCTGTGCTATCAGGGAGGGTCCCTCCTCCTCCCTTTTAAGTCATAATCCTCTGTAACAGCTAATCCTCGCCATGGTAACAAGACCAATGACACAAGAAACAGGGTGCTGGAGCCTCCCAGGGAGATCTCTGCATATAAGTAGAGCAAGATCTCCGTGGGAGGCCTCTGGGCAGTGGGCATGTACGGTCAGGGCAACTGGGGGTGGAAGGGCCCACAGGAGAAGGGGGACAGTGAGGGAGTCAGAGGGGAGGCCAGACAGGCTGATGGAACCTGAGCTTGAGGACCTGCTGGGGAAAATACCAAGAGGAGGGCGGGTGTTGGGAAGCCAGTTGAGGGAGGGGACAGAGAGCTCGGCCAGAGATGACTTACCTGGCCCATGACGTCCTCATCATACGACAGCGTCAGGCCCAGGTCGGCGATGTCCCCATCATAGCGCTAATGCAACAGAGAAGGGGAAATTGTCGGGGTGCAGGGGCACAACATCCTTGACCTGATCTCCCCTCTGACGAGGCGCTGCGCGCACAGCAGCACTGCAGCTGCCGTAGAGCTTGATGCCAAGGTGCGGGCTGCCGTCACCTCAGGAAGGAGCCCCCTCAGCCAGAAGGGAGCGCCTGCCGTGGGGAGCCTTCTTGACCATGCAGGGACCTGCCCCCACCGCAAGGAGCGCCAGGCCTGCCTCCCCACGCCCTCCCTGTTTCCACACCGACCTTGATGGAAGTGAGGTTCTTATAGAACTCTGAGTCCAGAGACGGCAGCTCGTCCACAGAGCTGTAGAAGACACTGTGGTGGTGCCCGAGCAGCTGGCTCAGGAAGAAGGAGGCGAAGGGCACATCCACCACGATGCCCTGAGAAGAAGAAAGATGGAGTTCGCATTCTGCCACCCAGGGGTCACAGGGCAGCTCGGGCTGCAGCGGCCCCTCCCTGACACACCCACCACAGGCATCTCCAGGCACTTTCAAGTTTTCAATCTAGAGTGTGATACCTCCCATTATGGAAGAAATGCCACGGGGTGCCATCTGGTATGGTAGCCATGGGCACAGGCTCCGAGAGACACGGCTTAGGGGGTCAAAGCCTAGCCCTGAAGCTGCCAGGCCCTGGGACAGGGGCTGCTTCACTAGAAATGGGGACAGCACCGCTCAGCTACTAGGGCTGCGTGACCAGGGCAGGGGAGATGCCCAGGACGGAGGGTCAGCTAAGCCACACCTGACAGAGCAGAAGGCCCTGGGGCCTGCCCAGGGATGGAATGGAATCTGGCTGCGCCGCTCCGGTGAGGGGGGACAGGGGAGCTGCCTGGAGTCTCTCTGGGGGGGAGTGGGGGAGTGGGCTCCAAGCAAGGAAGTGCCAGATTTGTACTTTCTAGGGGAATGGACTGGGAGATGGATGGAAGCGCAAGGACTTGAGACATCTAGAAGGAAGACTCAATCATACCATCACAGAGGACCGTGAGGGTCCAGTGAGCTAACACACAACTGGGATGGCCTCAAGTCTCTGGTCTGCGCCACTACTGCTGCAGCGAGGGGACAGGCACTAGGCCTGGGAAAAGGGAAGGGCATCCTCAAAAGCCAGGAAGCCATGCTTGTCAGTTAGTCCAGACTCTTGTGGGTCTCATCTAGCTACATGGCTCAAGGAAAAACATGGCATATGCCCAGGACTTTTTTTTTTAATCTGAATCACCTGAGAAACTGTCACTATTTTGTAGATAATGAAACAAAGGCAGAATAAGCCCAGGCCACCCAAGTGGCCCAAGGCAGCAGGCCGGAGGGTATTTGGGCCCTGATGCTTCTGGGAGAGAAGGATGGATTATGTGAGAGTCAAACACATGTGGCCACTTGGTGTCTTTGCAACACGCCCCGCTGCTGGCTCTCTGCAGGAAGGAACCCTGGCTTCTCTGGGTTCGTGATGGGGTGAGTGAGTGCTGCTGAGGTGTCCACTCACTCAGTGCTGGGTGAGGAGGAGCAGAGCCCACTGAGAGGGGCACAGAGACTGACCAGCTTATGCTGCACTGGACCTCCCTCTGGGGAGCAGGATGCTCAGGGTGGGGGACAGGTGCTCCCCGGGGACACTGCCCTCTCGGTGGAGAGGGATCAGGAGCTCTGTGGGCCCATCAGGAGCCTGCAGGAGTCTACGCCCCCGGCCTCCCACAACTCCTGACCCCGGAGACCAAGGCACAGAAGCTCAGATACCCATCTACTTAACAGTGACGACGGCAGCTCTTCCTGTCCCAGGGCCAGGGGCCAGACCCCGCAGGGTAGCGGGGCCTAAAGAACCGAGTCGTCACGGGGCCGGCCAGGCTGGCAGTCTCCCGGCAAGCTCCAGGTGCCTCTGGCTCACTCTGAAGTACTCAAGTAATGATATTTTAGAATGACTCTAACAACTAGCAAACCCCACAAAAGGCTGCCCTCTGTGAGCGGGACCAAGCGTCCACATGAGACCTGGCTGTGGCCAACCACCCCTGCCCTTCAGGGAAGCAGGACGCAGGCCCGCCTGGCTCTGGATCCAGGCTCCACCACTGAACTGGTGGTGAGACTCTGGCTCGGCGACGCCTCAGTTCCCATACGGAGGAGCAGCACCCCCCAGGACCACTGGGGGCAGAGGCAACATGGAGCGACTGGGCACTGGCCCCGGGAAACCTTGGCTCCTGCTCTTCTTTCCTCAACTTTATCCTCATGACGGCAGGGGACAGGCTGTCCATCGCGTGGATGGAGCTCACGGCACTTCCACCGTTTTGTCTTCTGTCCCGGCCCCGCGCTCCTTAGCGCCTACCTCGTACACCGCCTTCCCCAGCATCTTGCCCACGAACTCAAAGAGCTGCAGGTAATTCTCATGGATGTAGGAGGTGGGCGAGGGGTAGAGCCTCTCATCCCCGCTGGTTGTCTGCAGGGCAAAAGGATGGGCGAGGGGGTTACACACCTTGTCACGAGCCGCCTGGCCCCTGGCCTCGCATTTGTCACCTTGACTTTAGCTGCTGTCAACCCTGCTCCCCTTAAATACCTTGAACAGGTTGAGTGCCGGGTCGAACACCCTCTTGATGATCTCTTCCAAGAACTCCTTGAAAACACCATCTTGGTCAATCCCTGCCTCGTCCACTCCGAGGTCATTGACAAACTTCACGCGGATCACGCCCTTCATGGCGTGCTGGGAAAGCTGCCGCAGCTGCTCATAGCCGTCCTGCCAAGGGCACAGTGACAGCCCGTTAGGGGCGCCAGGCCTCTGCAAAACTCAGGCTCCCCCGAAGACCCCACACGGCCCAAGGCGCAAGCTGAGGTGCGGGGTGCACAAAGAGGGGGCCACACTGCTGTGAGAGCCTGCAGAAAGGAAAATTCACTTGGGGGGACACTACTTCACCACTCTTCAGTGAGGGGGACGCGGAGCCTGAGGTGGGGGAGACCAGCAAGGAGACCTGAGGAGCTCTGGTCATCAGAGAAAGTAAGGGAGCACGGGGACAGGATCCCCTGGCTTCTTTGTAATGCTGAGTATCTTTTAGCTGTGGTGAGAAGAAAAATCAAAATTCTCTCCAGCCCTTGGCCCCTGCTACCTTTCCTGGATTCAGGAAAGGCCTTTTGACTACACTGAGCAGTTCAGGTCTGTGCTGAGGGTGAAGTGACCCAGAAGTGTCTCAGCGGGGGCGTCCGACCAGCTGCGGCTCCGTCAGGGAAAGCACTCTCTCTTGGCAGCAGAGCAGACGGGTGAGAGGCCATGGCCAGGGAGGCGGAGGGGCAGCAGCCAGGGAGGTGTGGGCGAGGGCAGGACAGTCCAGAGGGCTCCTCTCACTCCTGTGGCTCATCCTGAGCTCTCGCCAGACACGCCGTCAGTTTCCTCACCCAGAACTGTAGGGTGCAGCATAAGAATTCTCCGACTAACTCGTCTTGTTCAGTATGTCTTAACTCTACTAGTTTGGGAGCTTCCTGGCTCCAGAGTCTGTCACCTACTGTGTTCTTGGCATGTACGGGGCTCATAAGCAGGCTGCTTAGGCCTGCATTTCTGAGTGTGGGATGGGACAGGCTGCAACCTGAGGAAATGGGTGTCTCTGCATAGTATCCTACAAGTTGCGGTTTCAAGGCCACAAGAGGTTTCTCCTGCTCGGTCCTAAGTGTGAAGCTGTTCGACCTTTGGTGACCCTGAGATGGCCTGTCCCCACAGCACCCCCTCATCTTCCAGTCTGGTCCCTGTCACAAAGCGGACAAAGCCAGTATGATCTGTCTTTGGGGAGTCCGTGCTGCTTTCCCGAAGGGCACATTCCCCACACACACTGTCCTAAAGACTGCCCTATGGCGCTCTTAGTCTGATGCAGGTAGGAGCCAGGCTCCAAAGTCAGCACACAAGGAAAAACGACCTCTGAAGTCCCCTGAGTCACTGAAGGAACAGGAAACAGCATTGAATGTAGTCCTGAAAAACACTTTCTATGCACATGAATTTTGAGAACTATCAGATGAAAAGAAGGGGAAACTGGAAGTGACCCCGCAGATGCTACAGCACTTAAACCATTCTGCCTCAATTGAAGATGATCATTGTGCACTGACCCACGGACAGGGGAAGTTCAACAGGTTCCTGCTGCAGGATTTCCTGCGTTCTGCTCAGAATGATGCCCCTCACCTCAATGCATGAGCCACTTTGCGGGTATTCAGGTAGAGGTGATGGTCTATGTGGAAGCACTGGCGAGGCAGGGGAGGAGCTCCAGCCATGCCTGCTGGACCCCAGTTACTGTTTTGCTCCATCAGCCCCACATCACCCACCTCTTTGAAAAACAGCAATGGGATTTGCCACCTGTCTCTGCTGACACAGACCCTCCTGCACCCAGTGCTGGGCACCACACGCAGTTTTACCTGTGCCCTGTGGGAGTGGGGTGGGGTGGGCATCACTCCTTCCCACTGCATCTCAGTGACCTGGGCACCAGAGCCACTCCCAGGCTGGGTCTTGGTCTTAAGCCTGAGGGACCTTGACCTTGAGAATTTGAATCCACTGGCCTGAACTGGTGAGGGAGAGGGCTGGACAGCTGTTTCCTTCCAATTTGAAATGTTAGTTTTCCAGCCCCAATGTGCACCCCCAACCCCACCCCGCCCCTTGAAAATCAGCCTTTCTGCAAGTCTGGAGACTAACACTTGGAGGCCTAGCACAGAAGCACTACAGAACCACGAAAAAGGTAACACAGCAAAGGCTCTGGGTCTCCTGTGAGTCTAATGCAGCTTTCAAGCCCCCTTGTGTCCAGATCAAGCAAAGGCCACTGAGCTCTCATGTTCTAATAACCAAAGCATCAGCGCGTGAGAATAACTGGGGCCATGGAGCTCAAGCCAAATACCTCGGTCAATTTCATGACAAGACACATGATGTCGGAAGTGGAGAGGAGAATGGATTTGTCTAAAGCCTCAGATGCACATCTCTGCTTTGTTGACAAAAGCAAACTGGGTCTCAGGATGTCAAGCAATCTCCCAGGAACAATGGCCCTCGAGGAGGGCGGTGGAGGGTCTTCACGCTCAGGGGACGCTGCCGTCTCTGGCACCCAGCCTCTCCCTCCCGGCCACATCTGAAAGGGCAGGGTAGGCCTGAGGGCTCTAAGGGTCAGGAGAAGTGCTGATGGGCTGATGAGGACGGTGCTGGAGAAAGGAACAATACCACCAGGCCTTTTCTTTGAGTAAAAGCAGAGTTCATGAACTGGTGGCCCTGAGTTGAATTCCAAGGGAAGACAAGTGTTATCTGACCTTCTAGATACTTCATGAAATTTCACAAGTTCACAACATAAAAGATCTGGGAGTTTCACACAAACTTTTTTCCCCCATCTGTTGGTCTTCTTCACAACCAGAGCATCATGGAGTCACGTCTCCACAGGCAACCGGGGCGGGGGGATTGGGCATATGCTTATCACTTGCCTACTCCTCTCTAAGCCCCCCAAAATTGAGGCTTGGTGTCAGTGCTATTTATCATCCCCATTGTGCATTGCCTCTGTTGAGTTCTCTAGACCAAGGGTTCTGTTTCAAGGAAAGTGAAAAACCAGAGGAAGTGAAGACAATTACTATTTGGCATGCAACCTGATGCCCCTGTTTTGAGACACACTCGGCCAGCCTGACTCATGCCCATAACTGCCAAGGTCCCTCTGGCCACTTAAATTTCTTATCCCTGCTTTGAAGAATGTCACCCTTTATCATCATCACAGGCTGCCTTTCCCTGAGGAGCTCGGTGTCCATCACCAGCCAGCAGGGGCGGAAGGCGCTCTCCTGGAAGGTGTGGAACTGCCCCAAGGAAGAAAAGAAAAGCGAGTAGGAGGCGCCGCTGCACAGCTGCTTGCTGGCAGCTGGCAATGCGGCCCAGTCTGTGCGGGGGTCCCGTGACTGTCCCACGCTGCAAAAGGTGTTAATGGGGACTGTGGCTAGAGTGTGAGCAAAGGTCTAAAGGGCAAGCCTCAGCACGTAAATTGGGTCCTGCCTCTGCAGGGGATTTGGGGCTCTGTCACACCTCCACTGCAGCAGGCTGGCACGCACGGGCAGGCTGTGTGTGGCCCGAGCCTGGGCCCCGTGTGACTGCACAATGCAGACACTGCAAGTGTGTGAATTTATCAGGGCAGCATCCCAGCAGGTGGCGGCCGGGGTCTTGTTTCAGCAATGTCAATACATTGCAACAATTGTCAGTCACCTGGTGGTCAAGTGTTCTGAGGACAGGCACCTATTTCTAATTACATGATGGTCCTGACGCCGGCTTAGGCTACGGTGGGCCACTTGGCCATATCGTGGAAGTATCTGACTACCAAGGACTTCCAGCTTTGTGTCATATAAATGTGTTTCCTAATACAGCTCAGTAAATTCAACACCTCCCCTCTAGCCTCTACCGTCATGGTTGGGGCAGTCTGGGCAAAGTGCCTGCTGGGACAAATGGGGTCTGCACTGATAAAAGAATGTCCACATGTCAGGCCCTCCCTGGTGGCGAAATGGATTAAAGCGCAGCACTGCGAAGCTACTGGCAGCTGACTTGGCACAAGTCTGATCCCCGGCCCGGAGGTGATCCCCATGGCGCGGCAGACCTCTCCTGACCCGCCCGCTACTCCTCTCAGCAGTGTACTGCGTCAATCTGCCTGTTCTGCTCCCCACTGTGTCCCTGGTGAATCCTCTCACCCTCCCCTGCCACACACACTTCTGGACTACACCCCAGCATTTGCATGCATAATTAAATCTTTAAAAACAAAAGAAGAGGCACAAGGTGTTGGAAGTGCCAGCCCACGGGCATGGGGGGAAAAGAGATATATTCTACAGTGGGCCCCCTGCGCTTGCTAAACCCACCAGTTCTTGGGCGACACTTGTTCCATTTCTGCTCCCAGAGATTGATTTCAGTGTCATTGGAACAAGGAACGCCAGGCACAGTTCACCCTCTGGCAGCACCTTGCGAGGACAGGCGGCTCACCTCCAACATCCGGGACCGGCGGATGGTGATGTGCGTGACGTGAGGGGAGGCGGAGCTGGTTTCCACAAGCCCCAGTTTCTCCTTCTCCTTGGTAACCATGTTTCGGAACAGGAGCACTCTCTGAAATGAGCAAAGGGGAGACCAAAAACAGGGTCAGCAGCTGATGATTCTCTAATACACACTCCACAAAAACCAGCGACATTTAAGTCCCGTGGGAGGCCACTAGAATGGGATGCTTTGAGAGAGAAGAGATTTGTGGGATTAGCAAGCATGGCCCAAATGCTCTTGGGAGTGAGAAATATAGCTGAATGTAAGCCAAGGAAGAAACGTTCCAGAGTGGGGGGCTGCATCTGAAGTCCAGCAAAGGACAGCCCAGGAGAGAATCGTTCTCGTCCTTTCACCATCCACTGTAAAAAGCTGGCGGCGGGAGCCCAGAGGCCCCTTTCAGCTGTGCCGCATGGAGGAAATCAGTACAGGGTCTCAGACAGAACCGGTTCAAAGATATTTTTTTCCATTGTCAGAAATTTTAAAAATGATGCCACAGTATGAAGGTCCCTGACCTTTCTATCTGTCTCCTCGATGCCCTCAAGCGCTCCACAGTTCCACCGGTAATTTTTCTCTATTATTGTCTGAAAAGACCCCGCTCTCTAGCGCCTGCAAAGCCCCTTGAGGCGAGCACGACCTCTCGTCCCACGCGGGGCTTGAGAATCACTGCTGTAATGTCACTCAAATCATGGCAGCGAACGAAGTGGGAATCACACAAAAGTCAAGAGCTTTGTAAATACGAACAAGAGCGGCAGTCACCAGCAGGTAACAGCGTGAGGGTGAAGATGTACGGAGCTGAGTATCTTCACTTCATCGTCACATCAGCTCTGTGCAGAAAACACGGTGGTAACAAAGCAGCTGCCAGCCGCCTCTGGAGAAGGGGCCATATGCGGCAGAGGGCCGAGTGCTGAGCCCGGTGGGCTGGTTTACAAGTAGAGACGCAAAACGCAGTGCTCTGAGTAGTCTCAGAAGATCCTGAGCTCAGAGCAATGGGAAGGGAGCGCAGGCGTGAGGAGCCACAGGAGGGCGCCCTTGTGCGTCCTCCTCATGGTGGCTAACAGTACTTTGGGGAACAGGTATTTAAAGTGTGGGGCTACATGCCATGACCGAGTCCTGTGACCCCCACACCTTGAGTTATAAGCACGGGAACAAGAGGAGGCGTTACGGGGGACACAAGGCTGAAGACGGGCCTCAGGCCCTGGTGAAGGCAACACAGTGAAGCGGCAAAGTGGCAGCCTGCAGAGGTGACCACGAGAGGGCAGCTGCCTTGGGGTGCAGAGAGACTGGACAGGCACAGGACTACCACGGGGTTGCCTTAACCAGCTTGCCACGGGTTGGAGACCTCTGTGGACAGCTGGCCAGGATCCTGAACCCCATTTCACAGATGAGGAACGGATTCACCTGAGGTCACGGGTGGGCGGCAGCGAAAGCCACGCCACACAGGCCCTGCCTACCCCACCGGCTCTGGGCTCCTCGGCCAAAACAAGGAGCGGTCTATAGTGTGGTCAGTAGAAGAACTGCGCAGAGATGTTCAAAAGAAAGTAAGAGCATGCAGAGAGCAAAGTGCTGCTGTTGCAGCGAGACAGACGCTAGGCCACCCACCCGAGAAGACCCGGGACAGGGTGGGGCTCAGCGCTGCAGAGCGCAGATGAGAGAAGGGCCTGACACCTCCTGCTGCCCTCCTGCGGCTCCAGCCAGAGGGAGGGTGGCGTGCGCCCTAGTGAGAGGGAAGGGAAGCCCGAGACAGGACATCAGGGCGCCCCTGCCACTCAAACAGACTTGCCAAGGCCCTTCCAGGTGGGCTGGGCCGTCACAGGGAGCAGGACGGAGGCCGGGAGACAGGGAAGGGCCCTCACTTCCCCAGGGAGAGAAAAGAGACTTTACAAGGCCTTGAAGGCAATCTTAAGCCAAGTTCTCCCATCTCTGCAAAATGAGTATTAGACACAGCCTGGACTCAAAATCAGGACAACTAACCTCAGAGGTCCCCAAATTTCTTGTTCACAGTACCCCTAATGGCTCAGTGATTTTTTTTCAAGGTAATCCTAGGCCAAGAGAAAGACCAAATAATTCTACTTACTAAGTTGTTAAATCCTAAAACTTAGTAAGTATTAAAAAAGCACATGCACTGAAATAAGAATTAACTATTTAAAAAACCAACCAACCAACTATTGAAGAGAATATGGCAGGACCAGCTGTTGACACTGTGAGCTCAGCAGCATGTGGTGCCCACAGGCTTCCCTCCCTCTCAATAGTTTTAATTCGCCCATGAGGCCCAGGGCGCCCCGGCTCACGGCCTGTGCGCACAGCTGGCCACAGGGAGGCCAGGGATGCCGCTGTGTGGGGCTGACTGGACACTGGCCCCGGACAAGGAGCTGTGATGCAACTCCACACACTGCACTGGACCAGGAGACGGAGGGCTGGAAACCACTGGTGGGGCCAGCGGGAGAAAGGAAGGACACAACCCTGGAAGACAGAACCCGCAGAGGCAAAGGGAGTCGTCAGCAAATGTCAGCTTAGGGACGCCGCTCCTCGCGCTGCTCAGGAACTGGGGCTGGGCGTCACCGAGAAGTAGGCCCTACCGCCAGGGAGTCAAGCACGGCACACCCGCTGCTCAGGGCCCTGAGTTCTGCTGAGGCAAGATCAGGGGACTGCTGAAGGCGCTCCTCTGTGGAGGGCACTTCTGACTGTCAGCTCTGCGGGGCCCCTGGTTTCTGAGCAGCTCTGCTGTCGAGTGCCATGAGAATTCATGCAGCTGCCTTCACTTGTGAGTCGCTGTTTCAGGGCAACCGTAAGGATAATGTCGAGGTCAAAATGATCTCAGACAGTAAGCAAGGATCTCTGAAAAGAGATTTGATTTAGAAAAATGTGGCCTCAGCTCTTTTCTAAAAATATCTATTTTTTTGAAAGAAAGGGCACGGCTAGACTCTGAAGTGCCTCTTCTGAGGGAGCACAGCACTGCCCGGAGTCCAGCACCACACCCAGCGATGCCCCGCTCCCTGGCGCTCTCACCACAGTTCCTGACCCTCCCCGAGCCCCTCACATCACTGGAGGGGAGGGGGTGACACCACCCTCCTGGTTCTTTTCTCTGATTCCACCTTTCCTGTGCTGGCCTTCAGGGCTCTGGCCTCAGTCCAGAGGAGATCTGAGCGTTGTCCACACGTCGATTTGACCCCTAGAGCCATCCCCTCTCCTGAGTTCCAGGCCGCAGACACTGGCCTCAAGGAGCTGCAGACACCTCATGTGCTCCCCACTCCCCACCTGCTCCTCCCTGTGCCCCACCTCAGGATGCCTCTCCCAACAAACCAGACAGCAGAGCGTCATCACCTGAGTTCCTCCTTTCCTTCCTACCTGCCTGCATCATTCCCAGAGCCTTAAAAATCTCTTGGCTTTGCTGTCTCTCCACTCCGGAGGCCCCACTTGAGTCCAGTGAGTTTACCACCACACCCCTCACACGACAGCCAGAAGGTGCTTCCGGAGCACTGCTCTGACAAAGGTTAAAACCCTCCAATGGCTTCAGACAAAATCCAAGTTCCAGCCCTTGGTGTACAGGCGCTTCCAGCGCCGGCACTTGCAAGCCTCAACCTCATTTCTCGACTGTCTCCTTTATGTTCTCCCCATCAGGCTACGCTTGGTTCTTCGGGGCACTCTTTCTCACCAAAGCCGCTCTCCGGAGTGCCTCCCCGCTCCAGCAGGCCACACCCCTCACTGGGCCCCCACGGCGTCCGCTCCCATACACACCCCGCCCTCCCTGGTGGCCAGCTCGCGCAGCCCTGCACCTGTCTCTCCAGGGCTGAGCAGGACTCCTGGCACACAGTACGTCCAACTGCTGCCTGTGTCGCTGAATGAGCCGACTTCAGTGACTGAAAGACAGAGTCTGGAACCACGCAATGGGACAGGCAGGCACACTGGGAGCCTGGCCCTACTCACATTTTTGTGAGGAATGACGTGAGGGATGTACTGCAGGACCAGCTGCGCCCGTTTCCTATCCTTGTCGAGTTCTTGGAAGAGCACACTAGGTTTCAGATCTCTTAAAAAGAAAGACACAGGTTGGGGATCATTAAAACGAGTAAGCCACTGTCTAGCATGGGCTGACTAACCACATCCGGCCCTGGTCAGCCTGCTTCTGCTGCTGCTGCTGCTGAAACTAAGCTTTAATGACCGCGCTCACTCATGAGTGCTGCCTGGCTGTGAGTGGCAGAGTGGGGAAGTCGCCCCGAGGCTGGCAGGCAGGGCCTAGATGTTTACCCCCTGTTCTTTATGGAGGAAGGCTCCCAAGACATGCTGCTGATCACACACGTCTTATGTTTAGTTGTTGCAAGGTGCCTCCCTCCCACTCCCACTCTGGAAAAGCCTGCTGCAGTTGCTGCCCTGCTGATACAAACTGCCACTTACGACCTGTTGCTCAGTTCAGCTGAAAGAACTTTTCTGCCCAGCTGGAGTAAGAAACACCTAGTAGAGGTGAGCTGGCTTTGTCCCCATTCACGAACTCTAGTCATCTTTGCTGCAAGCCAGTCTCAGCACAAGCGCTGCCAGGTGCTCCCTGGGGCACACTGAAGGAGGGGAGCAGGCGCCTCTGCTCGGGCGAGCCTGAGGGCAGAGCACCTGGGAGCCACCCTAGACGTGGCCACCACCCTGGGTTTCCACCAGCCCGCAGGCAAGTGGCGCTGCTGCGCTCTCACTCGCTTCCCGCTTCTACTGCTCTGCAGCCGCGGTAACGGCGCGCAGGGGCCCGGACTGAGAGGCACAAGCATGCAGCGCGTGCACTGATGACTACAGGTAGTCCAGGAGGCCGGAGAGCCAGGAGCATGTGTACCTCTAAGGACGGACACCTCTAAGGTGGAGAGCATTATGGCAGAGACCATCAGGAGAGGCAGAGAGAAAAGAGTGCAGAGATGTGGGGCTCGGAGGCTGCTGCCTCCCAGGCTCTCTGCCGCAGCATTCACGGCCTGTCAAACCTACCAAGGACGCCGCGATTCCTTGTCTCCCTGCCCCATCCATAATGCACCTGCAGCCCGCCCTGAGCCGGCTGTGCGGCTGGCCCCGCCCACCCCACGCTTACTTTCGCAGCCAGTGGTCCTCGGGGGCAAAGCGCCGGCGGCAGTCCCGCTCGTAGAGCACCATCAGCCAGCCGTGGACAGACTGGAACAGCTCCAGGGTCTCGCCCTTGGCGTTCTCTGTAGGGCAAACAACCTGCACCGTCACACTCATGGAGATGATCACAAGCGAGAGCAGAGGACTGGCTCCGTCTCCGTCCTTCATCACGGTCCATCAAGTGCGCCATCTCCCTCCCTCTGACTCTGATGTAGAACCGATGGAATTAAAGGGGTATACACCAAGTGTCTGCGGGAGTGGGGTGTTGTGTCTCCTCGACAGTCACACACGCTGCCTCCCCAAGTGTCACCCGAGTTCCTTTTACGCTAAGGGACGTGGTGTTGAACATTGGGAGACACTTTGGGGGCTCAACTCTAGTTTAAAGTGTGACCTGGCAAACTGCTTATCTTCACAGACATCAAAGCCTCAAAAGGAGATTCAGGGGAACAAGCAATCATCATTAATAACCCTTCACACAAAAATAAACCTTTCAGGGCCTGGGAGAGTAAGACTTCTATAACCACACTTAAGAGATCAGAGTGAGGAAATCAAACATCAAATTATGCGGATAAATGTGCCTTTCCAACTAACTCCCATCTACAATGACACAGAGGGCCAGCTGTCACAGACATTTAACCGACGGTCATGCCTTTACTTACCTACGATTCCATCCCAGATCATCTTAAACACAAAGGAATTCAGGAAAGAAGAGATGGTGACCAACTCTTCCAGTTTGAATGAAATTTGTTCTTCATAAACTTCAATGTCATCAAGGATCCTAAAACAGTCAGAAAATTAGCCATAATTTCAGTGAGAAAAGGGGGAGATTGAGAGCTATACCTCTTACTAGATAAGCATAAGGCAGAATCTGAGTCTCTAACTTAGGTCAAATTCAGACACAACCACTCTGCCAAGGATAATGATCTGGGAAGTATCAGAGCGGGAGCAGTCGGGCTGGGCTCTCTTGGAAGCAGGGATGGGCACGCAAGGTTTCTCTACACTGTTCTGCCACTTTCCACTTTCGTCAAACTGCTCATAGTAAAACGTGTAAAAATACAACCGAGAAAAAAAAAGTGAATAAGCTCTATTCTATTTTCTTACTTGAAAGGTAAGTAGACCTTTCTTAATACATGCTTCAATATCAAGGAATTGGAACCAAAAGTCTGTCTCTACTGAGGAAAGTCGAGGAATCGTATTCTCTGTAACAGACACGAATGGCCCTTCCCAGCATGAGTGAACTATCGGAAGGCCACTTCACTGTGTGAATCAATTCCGATACAGCGCTACCTGCAAACGCCTGTGTACTGCAGAGATGGACTGGGTCTGGGGTCACTGGGTGGCGTCTTCGGTGGTTACAGGCCTCAGAGCTCATCTCTGGCTGACCAGTGAGCCCCCAATGCCCCTGCCAAGATTCTTACCTACCTGGTTACCTTCCTGCCCCTTACTCCCCCCACTTCTGATCATCACTGCCTAAGAACTTCCTTTAGGACGTTCACCAACTTTGGGAGGGAAAGTGGAAGAAAGGAATACAGAGCACACAAGTAGGAACCTAAATTTAAAGAACAAAGGCTGTGAATGGGAGTGACATGTTAATTTCCTGCCCTGTGCCAGATTCTGTATCAAGGACTTGACATTGCTTCTCTATTGGCAAACCAAAGGGAAACTAAGGCCTAGAGAGGTTAAACAACTTGCCTAGGGCAAGCTTGATAAGGAAGGTAAGAACAATAGTCTGAGTTCTTCCAGTATGCCAAAGATAACACTAAATACTGTGTGGGCGTTACCCCTACTATTCTTGTCCCTGGCTGACAGGCTTAGGGTTACTCCAATCTACAGTGAGGAAATCAAGGCTCAGGAGATTCCTTTTGTCCCCTTGCCCAAGGTGCCTGGGCAAGTGGCTGAGCCAGATTTTACACCCTGCTTCTCCGACTCTAGAATTGTCTAGCAAACTATCCAGCACAGGAAGTAAATGGTAAATTGAATCCAGCCTCTCGGGAGATTCCAAAGCCCACACTCAGTGGCACTGACCAGCTCCCCTGAAAGAAAAGCTAACTGCTGAACCCCTGGTACAGGCCATCTGCATCGTGAATGTTTTCTCATCTAATTCTCCTCATGTCCCTGCCACATAGGCCCCAACACTTTTAGTAGTCACATTGCCGTTGCTTCCTGACACTGTCCTCTGGCGTCTCCACGCTGGACGAAAGGGGTTCAGCCCCACTGTGGTCAACCTACGTGACAAGGTGCCGGGAGCAGTCACAGAACAGCATCAGCATGGCCAAGAGCTGCTTGGAGTCGTCAGTGTCATTGTTGAGGCATTCCAAGAAGAGCTTTAACCCTCCATGGGGCCCCAGCTCACAGATAAATGCCCACAGTTTGGGGAGCAGGTCATCCAGGTAAGTGAGACCTAGAAAGCATAGAGAAACCCAAGCTTCAGGTGGGGCTCCATCTGGTCCACCATGTCCCCATCCAGTGGGAAAACAAAACACTTAAGCCTATTAGTGAACATGTAAAGTGTGCGAGAGAAAGAAGGTTGTAATTCCTAAGAAAACCATTATCACTCTGAGAATAACAACAGCTACCATTTATTTAGTGGGCACCGACTTGTGCCAGATACCGTTCTAAGGAACCCCGCCTGCACTACCTCCTTTCCGCCTTGTGAAACCCAGTGTTCTCACCATTTTGTAAGGTAGGAAATGGAATTGCAGAGGGATTAAGTAACTGGCCCCAAGTCACCAGGCCAACTAGGTGTCAGACCCAAGAACAGTACCCAGGTCTGACTGACTCAGAGTTTATGTTCCAAATCAGGGATCAGCAAATGTTTTCTGGAAAGGATGAGAGGGTAAATATTTCTAGGCTCTGTGGGGGAGATGGTATGTCACAACCGCTCGAAGCCACCACCATGGATGATGGGAGCCAGACAGCGCGGGTGTGGCTGTGGTGTGGCTGTGCTCGGAGAGTGCCTCACTGACAGAACCAAGCTTCTGCCGTGCGCTTCAGAGGCTCCTGTAGACTCAGTCATGTTCAGCAAGGGTTTCCACTCACCCACTTTTGTTACTGTTTCTATGTTAAAAATGGGAAAATAGGGCCCTCCCTGGTGGCACAGCAGGTTAAAGCACAGCACTAAGAAGCTAAAGCCACTTCAGCATGAGTTCGAACCTGCCCCAGAGGTGACCCATATGGCGTGGCAGACCTCTCCTGACCCGCCTGCTGCTCTCCTCAGCAGTGTACTTTGTCAATCTGTCTGTTCTGCTCCCACTCGGTCTCTGGTGAATCCTCTCACTGCCCCTGCACCTCTGGCCTGTATCCCAGTTCTGTATGCATAAATAAATAAATCTTTAAAATAAATAACTAAAAAATCAAAATGGGAAAACAGTGACTGCAACAGAGGTATGTTCAAGTGTTGATAAATATTTAACCCTGGGTGAGGCAGAGGACATTCCAGGTCTCCTTCTTGATGGCCACATGGCCTCCAGTGCACCAGCTACACCAGTGGAGATTTAAATCCATCAGTGTCGTCACTGAGTCAAGACAGGCTGGTTTGAAAGTTCCTAATGTCATAAAATGTACAGAAAAGTGTGGTCTCTAAATTATTCCTTAGAAAATGAGGAAGTCACCTAACATTGGGGTTTTATAGTGACTCCTTTTATGAGGCACCCTGGATTACTTAATGTTGAGCAGAGATAATCTGGGGGTGGGGGTGCACAATTTATGCCCTTTATGGATACCTGAGGGTGAACTGCGGGAATTACAAAGGCAGCAAAGAAATGTAGCACCCACTAGTTATGATTCCTAGAAACTTGACCTCACACTTGCAAGGGTAATAGGATGTGCTTATAAAATGCAGACGTTTTTCTAGATAATTAGAAGCAGAGTAAGAAGAAAAGGAGCCTCCCTCACAGGTGAATGGCCCCTCACGTGTGGATGGGAATACTCATTCACAGCGTCAAACACAGGTCCATCCCGGGCTGCACCCCAAGACACTGAGGTAGAAATGAAGGTGATGTATCTGCGGAGCTGTGTCAGAGGAGTGGTGTGTGGCCTGTGTACCCCCTGCACGTGAGGGGCTAGATGAAGATGCTTTGTAAATGGTGAAAGAAGAGAAGCAGTAGCAGTTTTAGTAGGGCGATGTTGTTTTCCACAATCTGATCTGCGTATAGCTAAACCAATAGTTTTGCACCTTATGCTTAGAGACTAGCATATCTTCATTAAAAAAAAAACAACACAACTATTTTCAAGTTGGTCAAAAACTTCTTTCTGGAGTCTCCTAATGGAACAATGGGGGATGCTTAAATCTGTGATCACCTTAAAAAATGGGACACTTTTGGCCCTCCCTGGTGGCGCAGCGGGTTAAAGCACAGCACTGAGAATCTGAAGCCGCTTCCGCATGAGTTCGATCCCCGCCTGCCCCGGAGATGACCACATGGCGCGGCAGACCTCTCCTGACCCGCCTGCTGCTCCCCTCAGCAGTGTATTTCATTGATCTGCCTGTCTGTTCCCCACTCTGTCTCTGGTGAAGCCTCTCACCGCCCCTGAGCCTCTGGCCTGTACCCCAGTTCTGAATGCACAAATCTTAAAAAAAAAAAAAAAAAAGGACACTTTTTACAAAAGTTGGTTGCAACTTTAAAATCATCTCACTCAGCAGACTTCCCAAGTCCTTACACTGGGGGCTGGGGTACCCAGGTTTGGTGGGGGCACCTTCTCGTCTATTTCTTCACCCTCCTGAGGGACTCCTCCCACAGCCAGAGGCTTTACACCGTAGGTCACTCACACTCCTGGCCACCACTGTCCCACCCCCGTGTACTCTAATGTCTGACTGCATCACTGCTGACGGTCCAGCAGGCTCCACACACCCATTACAATAGAATGTTCCAGGTCCCTGACCCCCAGGCTGGTCATCCCCAGCTAGGCAAATGGCACCAGTAACAAAAAATCTGGCATTATCTTTGAGGCTTTCGGTTCTCACTCCCCCAAATCCATAAAACATACCACAAACCCTCCTGCTTCCATCCCCTGATATCACCATATCTGTCCAGGGATGGTTCCCCCCCAAGGGGCTGTTGGCAGACCAGATGTGTCTGCACACATTTGGTTGTCACATCTGGGAGGTGGGAATGAGGTGCTACTGGCATCTCTGCTAGGGCCAGGGGCTGCTGAACATTCAGCAGTGGGCAGGGCAACTCCAAAGCCAAGGAGGGCCCTCAGATGCTCTCTAAGTACTGGTGATGAATCAGCAAGTGCGAAAGAGAGGAGCCATTTATGATTCCATCCAATGTGAGATGCAGCAGTTCCTAATCCCTTTATGGAGTAAACAGCTCAGGCCTATAGATTTTCTGTCCTAGTATCAGTTCATACTAATGGCACCTGCATTGCAACTATAAAGCCTTTGACATCTAATTCTTTGTTCACAGAGGGGACTTTCTTCCTTGCTCAGCTGAAAAATGAAAATGTTGGCCATATGCACGCAATGAGATACTATGCAGCCAATGAAAATGAAATTTTTGGCCTACCCTGGTGGCACAGCAGGTTAAAGCACCGCACTGAGAAGCTAAAGCCCCTTGAGCATAAGTTCAATCCCCGCCCCGGAGGTGACCCACATGGCAGGCAGAGCTCTCCTGACCGCCCGCTGCTCCCCTCAGCAGTGTACTTCGTCCATCTGCCTGTTCTGCTCCCCACTCTGTCTGGTGAATCCTCTCACTGCTCCTATACCTCTGGCTTGTACCCCGGTTCAGTATGAATAAATAAATCTTAAAGAAAAAAGAAAATGAAGTTTTTGAGGAACTTCACATGAGAAAACGCTTCTACCGAGACCACTAGGAAGGGAAGGATGGAGCGCAGCTTCACCAGATACCGCGCAGCACACACAGGCACGGGGCTCTCGTCAGGGTGCGGGATTAAGGCGATTTAAATGTTCTCCTTTCCGTTTGTCTTTTTATAATTTTCTTTTCAGAAAAAAACAATGACCTTTTCAGAGCAAAATGTGCTTCATAATGAAAGAAAAAGCCAAGTTGCAGGAAGACCTGGAAGTGCTTGGATCAAGGTTAGTTGAAGCAATTTAAGTGATGTGTTAAGAACCTCTGACAGTGATTCAAAAACACTCTCCCTGAAAATCAATTTTCTGGGAAGGAAGGCAGGGGAAAACCAACTTTTTCTAAGAAAAGTGGCTAAATCTGAGCAGAGGCACTGCGGACAGCGAACCTGTCAGTATCTGCAGCCGGATCTGGGTGAGGGTGGTCAGCGAGGTCTGGTAGAGGACACAGATGTTGCACACCTTCTGGACCTCAGCAGAGTCCACGCGCTTCCCCCCAACAGGCCTGAGAATATGCCGAACCGATGCAGACTTCTGAAATGCACGCTTCAGGAGACCTGGCGGGGAGAAGGAACCATGAGCAGCTGCCAGGCCACCTGCCCAACCCACCCTCCCAGGGCGCCTCTCAGGGAGGCTCTAAGCGACAGCAGAGCCAGACGGCGGCTACTGCGCTGATTCAAGTCACCTCTTTGGGACAAATGAGAAAAGCAACAGGGTTTTAGGAACCCAAAGACCTCTTTAGATGATCAGAAAATTTCTCAGAACAAGCCAGGCATATCTACTCTTATACGGGATTATTGCACAGTACCCCTGAACTTCAGCACCTACAAAGGTAAAAATCCCAAGAATTGTTAGCGGAATAGGGGGTCTGGTTGGGCCCCAATTTTCTATGCTTTTAGGCAGAGCAGGGGTGTCAGCCTCCATTACTGACATTTAGTATGAGGTGGTATCCTGCCTCTACTGTTTTAAACCTTCCCTCTTAGAGCCTGCTAAAACAGCCTGTTTTTCATAGAAAAAAAGGTCACACTTTGCTGACAACAACCCAATATATTCATGAGCACATGCTCACGGGTGGATACAGGAGCCTTATGACACGCTAGGCAGAGTAAGACAAAAAGCCACCTGGACCTGGAAGCCTGTTGTCAGCGGGGAACGCATCGGGGACACGGGAAGGCCATGGGGGCCGCGACAGCAGTGCTTCCTGGCCTCTCCAGAGTGGGCAACGAGGAACCTTTCCTGGCGACTGTTACTGAGCCTGCAATAGGGCTGTCACCTGGTCAGCGACTCAGTGGCCCTGTTATGAGAAGCCCCTTGGGAGATTTATAACTAAAGTCTAGGAAAAATAAACAATTTCCCCAAGAAACAACTCTTTCTGTGAATGAGATGAAAAATAAATGCAAAAATCCCTTTGCACTTTGGTTACTAGACAGTTCAGAGCCAACCAGTGGCCCACGTGGAGGATCTGTAGACTTGTTTCCTCTATACAGGTCCTCGATTTTATTCACCTGTATTTCCCTGGGCCTCGTTTCCTACTCCTATGGGCTGTCTGTCACTCTTGCTAAATGTGAACTTAAGAGGCCTCGAAATCCTTGCAGGAGAAGTTAAGAGTGTCACATGAGCAGAGGGGTGCAGCACCCGGGAACCACCAGGAGCTGCACTGCCGCTAAGGACAGTTGTGTCTCAGGCCTGCTCCAGACACTCACTCTTCACAGGAAGCACGTTCTGCGGGGACGCGGGCTGCACGTGGGCTGGGTCCTGGTTCTCCAGCAGCTTCTTGCTCAGGATGTCACTGAAGAAAATGCGTATCAGAGGCACCCCCCACAGGAACTGCAGCTGCTTGGTGATCAAGGGCATCGACTCGTTAAGGCTAGGAGCGAGCAGGACACAGCGTGTCAGTTCCACCAGACCCCGGTCAGGGAGAGCCTGCCTGGTCAGGGAGAGCCTGCCTGGTCAGGAGAGGCCTTCCGCCTGGTGGAAAGCGAGGGCCTGCCATGCAACCTGGCACACAGGATAATCCCCACAGTAAAGTGATGTGTAAGGTGCTAACCTCCTTCCGTCGTTTCTACCTAGACTCCCTGTGCTGCGACCGCAACAGTGATGTCCCCAGGCTCCACATACGCAGTCGGCTCCCAGACATCCCCTCTGTTCTGTAGCCCAACTCCATCCTGCCTACTGCCCCACTGACAAATGCCACCTTGTGCCTGCCTTGTTGTTCTACTCCTCACAGGTAGCCTGCAGGCCTGGGCCACAAATATCCACAGTTCACCAGCCCCCTAAGTTTTCTTGCTTGCAGAGTTCCTCCACTCCACACTGCAGCCCCTGCAATAGACTCACACCCCTGAAATCCACCCATCCACCTCCTTCATGTCCCCGATCAAGATCTGGAAAGGACCTCTCATCGCCTAGCGCTGCAGGGGTCACAGCTACTACCCCAGGGGAGACCAGGTCCAGCAGCTGGTCCTTCTCATGCACAACTCATCCAATCACTGAGACGATCTTATGAGAGGGACTTGAAAGTGTCCCCATATTTCAGGTGTGGGAAGCGAGGCCAAGGGACTGTCCAAAGGCCCTCAAAGAAGGTGCAGTGGGGCTGAGTAGGGTGCACTCATGCTGTTCTGCCCACCCTCTTCCCACGATCCCCCTGCTGACTCCCCACTCCCCACCCTCTGCAGGCTGGGACAGGTTCCCTCCTGCTGAGGAGTCTTTTAACAGGATGATACTCAGGTATGAGGAAAAGGAGAAAATGCAGGGCTTTCCTTCCCTGGTCTCACTCTGCTGCCTCAAGGGTGCCTGTCAGGACCGCAGCTGCTGGGTGCCCTTCTGAAGGAAAACGGCTGGCTGGGCCTCGAGACCCTCTCACCTTAGCCTGGCACATGTTTTTAAAGTTCATGATACTGCCTTGATCACCCCTGTCTAGTTCAGTATTTTTAACATTCTCAGAATGTTAAAAGTTTTTTAATTTCTATTTCATCTCTCGAAAGGATTAGGAATGATTCTCTGAATCATTTTTTAGTATGTCTCCAAAATATGACAGTCTAGTCAGCTCATGAATGTGACACTGAAGAAGAAAAGGTAATGGTGACAGAGGTTCATAATTTATGAAACGAAAAAAATCCAGTACAAAATGTTATCTCCTACTTGTGAAAAAACTACTGACATTTACAGGGAGGAAAAGGACTGAGAGGGTGGTGACACAGGCTGTCATGGTAGGATGTGGGACGGTTTCTATCCTATTAGTCTTAGCCGTATTTTATACAATGAGTGTGTGTAAATTGTGTAACAGAAGTGAGGAGGAGGAAGGGGCGGCGGTGTGGAAGAAGCAGACAGAGGGCAGTTTGCTCTGGGACTCACCCATAGTCTACGGATTGGGAGAACCAGCCCAGGACAGGGTGCCAGTGGGTCAGGTTGGATTTCTTCTGGGACACATACTTCTGGCAGTAGCACAGCATCTGGGTCAGCAGACTGACAAACCCGTCTGTCTCCTCCTCCAGCACCCTGGGGCTGAGGGAGCCCAAGGACAAGAGGTTGCCTACAAAGCAAGAAGGCTGAGTGTGACAGGGCCAGACAGAGCACTCGATCCCCTCCCATTCTGCTCTCTGCCTGTGGTGCAAGTCAAAATTCCATGTGGGGGTGCCTGCCAGTGTGGGGAGCGGCAGTGTCAAAGGGTTAAGAAACAGGCAACCTGGCATCTCAGCCTGGTTCTGCACTGTCAAGCTATGTGACTCCACCCACCACTCAAATCTCATTCCTCATCTATGTAAGACTGGAAAAACCATCCCCGAGAATTCTAAGGAGCAACATGTTGAATGTCAGGCACACAGAGCTATGCGATATTTTGTTAGTATCACATTAACAGTTTACACTCAAGGGCCAACATCAATGACCATTTGAAGAACATCTGAATGTCCTGGGAAATCACTGGTACACAGTAGTCACCAGACTTATTTAATATTTATTACTCTTCTCATAAACTCCTCTTAAATTTAGCCCAGAGAATGTTATATATTTAAAACTAACTTCTTATCAGGCAATGTCTACTGCTTTTAACTACAAAACTTTTTTCTACCTACACTGAAAACACTGAAAAATTGATGGCACAGGCTCTGCTCTGATCGCAAGCCCATTCTCTCACTTGAAATGAAAAATTTCTATATAACATACAATGTTTTCATTTCCTTTTGGCTGCCAGGAAGCTAAGGGCTGGTATTAACATTCATTTAGAGTCATTCAAGTAATTAGTACATTTTCCACGTACCTTTTTATTTTACTTTGTCTCTTTAAATTGTCTGTCTAGATACATGTTTTTATTGTAAGCACTTCTAATTTTATTGGTGATCTCCTGAATGGTGGAAAGCAAAACACAAGGGTTTTCCCAATGTCCAAAGACTCCAGCTGCAGATACTCACCCATCAGACAAAGGGTGTGGCATCCTTCTAGACTTTCACACACATCCCCGCATCGATCTTCATTTCTCAAAAATGTGATGAATTTACGAAGCATGTCATGAGATTCTAAAACATTGAGGCGCTGCAAGACAGAAAATTATTAAAGCAGAAGATGACAGGAAAAATTCCCCACTGAGCATAAACCTGGTTACCTAAGGCAGATCACCCCCTTACTGCCAAATGTGCAACTTATCATCAAGAAAAAATTGGAGAAAGATGAGACCCTATCTGGAGTATTAACCTGAATCTATCTACAGTGGCTACTGATTTGGAAGAAACACTGAGGTAGAAATTAACAGAGAAAATATTTCTAATTTCTCTAAGAAGGCAAAAATGGAATTGATTTTTGGAGGGGAATTCACAACCCACTTACCTCAGGGGTCACCGTGCTGAGATGAGTCACAAGAGCAGGCACGGACATGATGTGGATGAGAAATGGTCGAATCAGATTGTCTGAAAATTGTGCAGCAACCACAGGGCTAAACAGAGAGAGTTGACCTTATTCAGACCAGTATGCAGGTGAACCTGGAACAAAAGAACAACCCTACCAATGCCCCTCAATCCCTTGAATTGTGGCATCAAAGGACTGCTAGCAAATGAAAAGCTGCAAATGTGGACATCTGCTAGGGATGGTGGAGTGCCAGTGTAGCTCTATGCATCTATGAAAAGTTAGTTTCAAAGTTTTATCAACAGGAGAGAACAGTTGCACTATAATAAGCTTAAAAAAGAGCAGTATAAAAAAGCTATATACATGGGACAGGAAGGAGGGCATCATGAGTAAGAGGGAGGTAAAGGAGCTTCTGGAATGCTGTTACTGTTCTACTTTTCAATTGGGCTGGTGCTTACACAGGTGTGGTTACTATGTAATAACTCCAATAACTCAGACTTCAATCAAGACATTCCTTTTAACTGTGTATATATAGATGTAAATATATTTGTGTGCACTGTGATTGATATTTAAATATGTATAAAAAAGTATATATATTCATATATACAAATTTTAAAAAGACCAGGGAGACAGATAGAAAATATTAACAATGAATCTCTGGGATGAAAAATCATGAGTATATTGTTTCTTCATTATCTATACATCTATCTATCTATGTAGAGAGGTATATAGATAAATATATATATGTATATATACAGGTTTTCTGTATTAGCACGTATACTTCCAAATCAAAGAAGAGATAAACTTTAAAGACAAAACTAAAACAAATGATGACTTCTACCTCACACCATACATAAAAACTACCTCAAAATGGATCACAGACCTAAATGCTAGTTTTATAATTAAAACGATAAAACTTTGTAAATTTTTGTGACCTTGGGTTTGGTGATGACTTCCTCTATATGACACCACAATCACAATTAAAATTTAAAATATTTATGCTTCAAAAGACACTTTCAAAAGAAAGTGAAAAGATTCTCAGAACAAGAGGAAATATTTGCAAATTATATATCTGACAAGGGAACTGTATCCAGAATAAAAAACTCATATAACTCAACATTAGATGACAGCCCAATTTTAAAATGAGCAAAGCATTTAACTAGCATAGAAAGATACATGAATGCTTAGTAAGCATGAAAGATGGTGAACATCATTAGTCATTAGGGAACTGCAAATCAAGACAACAGTGAGAGATTACTCCACACTCATTCATAAAAAAGACAACAAGTGTTGGTGAGAACATGGAGAATCTGGAACCCTCACATATTACTGGTGGGAATAAGAGATGGTGCAGCCATTCTGGAAAATAGTTAAGACTGGAGTTACACATGATCCAATGATATTACTAGGCACAGAGTCTAGAGAAATAAAAATGTATGTCCAACAAAAACTTGATATAAATGTTCATAGCAGCACTCTTCATAATAGCCAAAACAGTGGCAGCAGCTCAATGCAGTATATCCATACAATGGAATATTGTTAGGCCATGAAAAGGGATGAAGTGCTGACACTTGGCTACCACATGGATGAACACATTATGCACAATGAGACAGTTGCGAAGACCTGTAAGTTAGTTATAGGACTCTATTTAATGAAAATGTCTGGAACAGGAAAATACTAAAGGACAGAAAGCTGCCTGAGGCTTCTGAGTGTGACAAGTTATGAGCAGAGAATTTCTTTAGGGTGGTGAAAACATTCTGGAATTAGTGCTGACAGCTGCACCATTCTAAGACTATACTAAAATGTTTCAAATGAGTGAAATGTACATGAACTGTATTTCAATAAAGTAGTCATCTAAAAAAATCACCTAAAGATTGTACAGAAAAAAAAAATCATGAAAACAACTTACGGGGAAATGACTTCTTCTAGCAAATATGCTCCAAGCCGTGAGAAGCTATGTTGCTGGTATTCCTACTACCAACATTTAAGTGACAAACTTTTACCAGTTTCCAGAGTATGTCTTTTGGAACAAGAATATTTTCAAAGACTAAACTGCTCAAACTATCTGGGCCTACACGAATCACCTGTCTTGAGGCAGGACCAACCAACTTACACTCAGTGATCAAAGATGGGCAAAAGAAGAGAGAATAAGCCATTTATTTCAGCATGTTGGAAAGAAGTTTAAATCAGGACTAAAAATTCACTAGACAAGAAATACAAACAAGAGAATGCCACCAAAACTAACCCGTCACTCGCACATAAGGGAGGATGGCATCATTATAGAGGTATAAAGGGCCAGTGCCTTCTCTGGGATTCTCACAGGGCCAGAGGATGCCACCATAAGCATCCCAAAGTGAAGCATCAGATACTTCATGAAAACAGGTTCCCCAGCATGAGGCCAGTCTTGAAAGATCGCATACCAAGTGCTTTTCCCCTCAATTTCCTACTATCTGTTTCCCCAGATACACTATGAAATCTGTTTAGGCAACGTGTAGTTGCTGCAGCCACCTCTGGGTGACAAACTCTATGAATGTACTGCTAATTGTACATGTAATAATGTGTGGGCCAGTGTTACCTAGGCAGGTGAAGAGGGTAAAAGAGGGTTCAGTGCACAGTCCCTGCCAGCAGAGGGCGCATGCTGCAACCGGGGAGCTGAGCGGTACAAAGGGAAAAACAAACTAGCCTGGCAAATGAGGTCCAGGTAAAAGGAACAGGGAAAGACTGGGAAGGTTCCCATGTTTTTAGAATGCAAAATATGTCTAAGATGTGAGCAAGCACAGGGAAGGAGAAAACAGCAGGGGCGTGGGGTCAGACAAACTGGGTTTCATTCCGCCTGCCACTTGCTTGTGTAGGATCAAGGGCAAGTGGCTTGACCTTATGGACCTTAGCTTCCTCATCTATGAGATAAGAGAGGTGGGGAGATGTCAGTTCATATGTGAACCAGTCTCAGAACAATGTGTGATGTGTGAGTGCTCACTACTTGTATTCTAGATCTGGGCACCATGTCTAAACATCATTTGTGATGTTACAAACTTTATATCCCTGTACAACAAAACCACTAACTAGGTTTAAAAAGGTCTTGGTCATGATTAATTACATATGAATATTCAGAAGATGAGGAAAAGAAATGCATGAAGAAAAAGGTTTTTCAGCAGCCTGGTCTTAACAAGTGAGTGACTGGTTCCTAACACTGTGGAGACAAGCCCCTACAACAACGGATGCGCGATTATTCTCAAAGCAGAAGAAACCCAAAGGGCGGATGCGGCAAACCTCCCCCTAAACCATACTGTGAATTACAACCACAACTGGGAGGGAGGGTGAGGGTATCGGAAAGGGGTGTAGGAGGCAAAGGTATCCCTGCGCTGGAGCCGGGGCACCTCTGTGCTGACCCTTCATCCCCTCTGACAGGAAAGTGGGTGGTGCTGCCAGAGTGAGCAGCCCAGAAGGTGACTCAGGCTGGGGAGAGACAGAAAAGCTGCTACTAGGCGAAGCTGTGTGTGCCTAGGCGCTATGACTCAGTACACACGCTGATGCAACTTCTCTCAGTGAGTGCTTTTACAACTAGTCTAGTGAAACTGGCTTAGTCCTGTCCTTCTAATGGGAGGGCCTGGCCTCCAGGTGTGCTGTCCAGCTGGTAACCACTGGCCATGGGCAGCTCCTGAGCACTTAAAATGTGGCTAGTCCAAATTAGATAGTGCTGGGTGTTAGACATACCACAAAGACTCGGTATGGAAGGAAGATTAACAATTTAATTTTAATGAAAATAATTTTTAAATACTGATTCTGTATAGAAACAACATTTTGGATACATTGGTTTAAGGAAAACATACTAATGATTTCTCCTTCCTTTTGACATTTGAAACATGTTTCTGGTTCTATTTCTGTCGGCCTATGCTGTTCTGGGATAAGTCCTATTCACTATACTAGAACTTGCTGTGATGACAGAAAGTGTCATATTTGGCCTGTCCAATGTGCCGTCACTGGTCAGTGTGTCCCTTAGCCACTTGATATGTGGCCAATGCAACTGAGGAACTGAATTCTCAATTATCATTTAACTAAGTTTCTATTTAGAAGTGCCCTGTGGTTAACTAATGGTTAGCAGAAAGCACGGTCTGGACCAGAGCTTGACAACTTAAGGTCCACAGGCCAAACTCTGCTCACTGCTCTGCCTGATTCTGCAAATAAAGCTCGATCAGAATACAGGCATGCTCCCTGACTTATGTACTATCTATGGCTTTGCCATACAAAGGCAGAGCAGCTGATGAAGGTGCATGGTGACAGAGCTAGAAATATTTACGAGCTGGCCTTTTACAGAAAAAATTGCCAACCCAGGTTCTAGATCATGGAAATTGACTCCATGGATAATGACAGTCAGGCGCCACCACTGCAGACCAGGCCGGGGTATGCCCATGTGCAGGGCTGCGCAGGCTGCCAGCAGGCCAACTTGCTGAAGGGCCTTGCTGTTGGGGCTCCTCAGGGCGCCAGTGCCTGTGGTGAGTGGGAGGGGCAGAGGAGGCGGCATTTATGCCAAGCTGGCTTGACCACAACAAATTATTATTTTCCCCACCAAGTTATAATTATCTTGGGGATTAAATTATCTTATTAATGTCTCCTTAAATTAGTATTTGGCTCAACACTTTGAATGTTCTAGACCTATAAACAAGTACAGCTTTTACACTTGGTGGTTCTCAGAACTGCAGGCATACTTTCTAATAGGAAATACTTTAGTCCCCAAACTGCTTAAGGAAAGGGAAATATCACATCCTTTCTGGTTCTCTGAATTCTAACATTTTAAACTCATGTTCATAATTCTATTCTTTTAATTCTTTCACCCTGCCCTATCTGAGCCTCCTCCAGCTCTTAGGTTTCTTTGACTGTATCAATTAAAAGTTCAAAAGGAGAAACAGTTGTATCTTGCAGAATGAGAGCAATTCATTTTGAAAAGCATCCTTCAAATCATGATGTGAAATCTTCAGGGGTATGGAGGAAGACAAAAAAAAGAACAGTGGCAGATGTGTCACTTTCACCAAGAACAACACTTCCTGTGACTTCTGACAAGGCGGCAGCCCACACCTACTGCGGGTAGCGAGGGGAGAGGCAGGGAAGAAGCCCGGGGTGCGCAGCTCCCACTTACCGCAGCGCCAGCGAGAAGGCTGCGGTTAAAGTGCCTTTGGACAGACAAGGCCGAGGTCTCGCCAGGCCACGGGTTAACAATATCTGCAAAAAAACACTCACTGGTTAGAGCGGGAACCCAGCATTTTACCTATTTGTACACTGAGAAAGAAGTTCAACAGGAAAATGAATGCTTCATTGCAAAAACAATGTGTACTGGAATGAATGTTTATAAAGAACGAAAGCGGAGAAAAATAGTGGGTACAGAGGTTCAATATATATTTCTTTCTCTAACTGGAAATAGCATGCTTAAATAAATTAAAAAAAAAAAAAAAAAAACCCTGATAGCTGACACAAGGAGTGCCAGACTTCAAATGGTGAGACCCCCAAGATTTTAGAGGAGGGAAGAGCTCGAGGTCCAGCGGAAGCTTCCTCCTGCTGGACTGCGGGTCACAGAAGCTCCGCTGGCACAACCCCCAGGGCTGCTGTGAGGGGCAGTTCATGGGGAAAGAGACATTGCACAGCAGCAGGAGGGAGGACGGGCTACTCCAGCGGCACTCTCTGCTCAAGAGCCGGACAGCGCCCTTAAACAGCAGGCAGGCTGACAATGGCCTGGACGCACAATTTGGCACAGTAAGGGGTGCAGTGGTCAGAAGACTGAGGATACAGTGCTGGAAAGATCATTCTAGACATCAACCAAGAAACAGAAGGAACAAGCCCCTTCCCTGGATAAGCCCTATAGCCAAAAACGTTCTCCAGTGAAGGGGCCCCAGGACCGCTGCTGCCCTGTCCCACAAACCACAAGTGACCCAAGACAGGAGGAGGGCACTAAGGTACGAAATTCCTCCTTTCTGTGAGGAGGGCATCAGACATGATGAAACCAAATGTAAAAACTCCAAGTTCAAATGTGGGAGAATGAGGTCATGTGTAAGGGACAGTCACAGACCTGTAGCACAGAGTAAAATCCATGCTGGTTGAGATGTCCCATTATATTGGCACAAATGTGATTCATGGCCGGTCGAAGACTCTCACCTAAATGAAGAAAAAAGTAAGAAAAAAATGTATCTCCGGCTATAATATGAACTATTTATGGGCCAGAAAAGCCTGAGGAAAATGGACACCTCTGGCTTGCCTTCCTACCCCCTTAGGTCTGTTTTCAGGATGCATGGAGATGCCACATCTCCACATCTCCAGGTGGGCTCCATGCCACCTGTTGGAAGACTGGGCCTATCTTGCCCCAGCCTGAAGTCATGTTCAGGGCCACTTTCTAATTCACTTCAAGGACGTGTCATGCTCCACCCTCTGTGACTTTCTCCACTTACCACCAAGACACACAGAGCATGGTAGGGCTGAGAACTCACCAAATTTTGATTCCCCCGAGCCCAGGACAATGCCCTAAAATAAACCCTCCTGCTAGCCTGGAGCCTCAGCACAGCAGCTTCCTCTGCCTTCTACACTGTCCCTTCACTCTACTCAGTGAACTCTCACCTTCCTTCAGCTCTTAGCCCAAGCCCCAGACAAGGAGTGAGGCCTGCCTGCCCGGACTCACTGCTGCCACCATACAAACTCCCCTTCACGTCTGCTCCCCGAGAGACGCTGAGTTCTAAGAGTGTGGGCAAGCGCCCATCAAGACTTCAGCACTGCAAAGCCCTGCAAGGGCGGGGACATTTTCTGCACCTCCACAGTCCTCCATAGGACTGGCACAAAGCAGACTTCTTGTGGAATGGATGAATGAAGAGGATCTATAAAACACTTCAGGTTTAAGTACAATACTCAGGAAAGGAGGCGGCTTTATTAAGCAAGTTCCTACAGGCAAAACAGAATTACTTGCTGCTGAACAATTCTCCAGATGAAATGACAAGGATCAAGTGAATATCTCTTTCACTCAAAGGGTGAGGAGCTAAGGGAATTATGAAAAGTGAGACCAGAGGGGCCTTGCCTTTAGACACAAGTCCCAAGATGGGAGACGTGACAGGCAAGACGTGTCTCTCCGAAACATCAAGGGCACTGTAGGGGTCAGGGCTTGCCTTAGGCCCACAGTGGGGAAAACGCTTCTTGACAAGAAGAAAAGGTCCCCGAGGTCTCTATGAAAACGCTACTTAAGACAGATTTTGAAGCAAATCCCACAGACCTTTTCCCCGGAGAATTTTCCAGGTTGAAGTGTCTGTGAAGGTGACAAGCATTGTGAGGTACAATGTGACAAGTCTGGAGTCTTGTAAGATTTCAGGCTGGAAACAATAAAGAGAACAAGATTAAGACACATGGCCTCCGGCACAGGCGTGCAACAGTCACCTCACAACTTTTCCTCACGCATTTAGGCTCCCATAATTGAGTCAGGATATGTCACTATTTCTTGGGAAATGATCACTTTGGGAATTAAGTAGCGGGCAAAGCGGAGCTTGGCCACGGAATGTGAGTTACTCCCAGTGGAGAGGGGGATTCCTAGCAAGAAGAGCAGCCAGGGTGCGGGCTCTGCGTGCATCAGGTGCGTGCGTGCAGCACCGCCTAGGGACACAGAGCAGCGGATGCCGCAGGGCACATCGGGTGCTGGGTCAGGCTCTGCTGTGCCACTTACTAGGTGTGTGGCGTGGGGAAGTGTCCTAAGCTCCCTGCGCCTCAGTTTCTGCCTCTGCTGACTAGGGATAGTGACACTGCTGTCCTCATGGGGCTGTTTGTGAAGAATAAACAAACTAATTTACATTTACACTCAGCAATGCTGGTCATTCACATAATTATGACTAATTTGTTGTTTTGTAAGAGGTGGGGCAAAAAGGCTGACTCCTTTCTGGGCTCAGAGGCCTGATGGTGTGGACACCTGGAAAGGACCCTGGAAACTCTCTAGTACAAGCCCAGGCTCAGACTGAGACTGGGAAAAGGAACTAATTTGCCTACAGCCACTCAATTTCAGAACTTCCTGGCTCCAGGTCTAGTGTTCTCTTCTAAGTGCATTTCCTCACAAAAACTACTTTTATTTTTTTCAAAGTAGAAGAGCCTCTTGTCAAAGAGAAGTCTCTCTCTTTTTAAAAGAGATTTATTTACTTATGCATATAAGAACTGGGGTACAGGCCAGAGGTGTGGGGGTGAGAGGATTCACCAGAGAGAGTGGGGAGCAGAACAGGTAAGTCAACGAAACACACTGCTGAGGGGAGCAGCGGGTGAGACAGGAGATGTCTGCTGCACCATGTGGGTCAGCTCCCTGTCCCGGGATCGAGCTCAAGTCACAGGGGTGACAGCATTGACGTTCAACCCCTAGGCCACCAGGGAGGCCCCAAAGAGGTCTCTTATGGCATGCAGATAGTAGATCAAAGAGGGGCTACGTGGTTGAAGTAAAGGTCAGGGAAGAACCTGCCTGCCTGGCCTTAAAGCATGTCAGGAACCCCCCAGCTCCAATATCAGGGTGTGAAGACTACTACCCTGGGCCCTGATGCTCCATCTGACAGTCGGGTATGGATTGCTGCCGGGCCAAGGCGAGCAGCCGTTCTACCAGGGCCTTGAGAGATGGCTCTGAATGGAATGTGGGGGCTTGGGAGACATCTGCTCCACGCAGGCCTCTGGCCTGAGACCCCTCCCGACAGCAGCTGCTGTTGGGATCTATCTGCGCCCTGCCCGTCTAGCTGGACAGAGTGAGCAGCACAGGCGAGGCTGGGCCAGCAGAAAACCCCTTTCTCTCACCACCATCACCAGCTAAGGGCTGAGTCCAGGATCTCCGTGGGATTTGGAGCTAGTTGGGGGAGGCCTCCCATTTCTTTGGTCCAGACAGAAGAAAAAAAACAACATTGTGAGGATGTAAGGCCAGGACTACATGAGGAGAGGACACGACAACTTCAGGAGGGAACAGAGAATGGAAAAGGAGAACCCGGAGCCACTGGCTTCGGTCAAACCGGATACTCTGTCACAAAGCACTGGCTCCCGGGTGTAGTGTGTCACAGGGCCTTTGCACTGTAACAAGACGCCTGCCTAGTATCACAATGACTAAAGTATCCACTACATCAAAAGAACTGGGAGGAACACAAGTTTCGCTGGCATCTAGACTGGCAATTCCAGGGCAATGTTCCAAACGCGTACATGAAAGAAGGGCTCACACCCTGCTCTCTGCTGGAACAGGCTTTAAGAATTCATCACCAGATCCTAGCAGCTCTCCAAAGGTAATAACTATGAGGGGGTCGGGGGACAGGAAATACACACTCATGGCCCCACGTGAGAAGGCTGTATTTTGTTGCTTTGTTCTTTACCTTGAGCTGCTCAAGAAACTCACAGCAATACCACAGAATGTCCTTGATCTGCTTAATCCACAGGAGCGTGAGATCCTTGGAAAGAGCGAGGGACACATACCACACCTACAAGCGGCAGGGAGAGACATGTAAGTGGCCAGTCACAGGACACCAACCCTGGTGTCTGAGCTGCTGGGCTGGGACCAACTAGCGGTGTCTAGACAGAAGGGGCAAGAGGATGAGGGCTGAGGAAGCAGCACAGAGGACTCATTTAAATGCTAAACCCAAAAATAAACAGCCTAGAAAGGAACTTCCCACACCCAGAAAGAGGCCAGAGCAGAGCACAGCTCCTCAGATAGTAAAGACTAGGCTTGGAGAATACTTCCCATCCATTGCTTATTTGCATATGTATGGAGGTTAACAAAGCCCTAAAGGGAAGTCTGAGCGCCAAGCAGGCTGACTGGAGGGCTGGTGGACTTCCCAGCTCCTGCCGCACTTACCTTGGCTTCATTCTCAACATCCATGCTACTCAGGATGCAGCGACACAGCTTCTCAAATCTCTGCAAAGAGGCAGAATGGCGGTTATCAATCCCAAGTAATGCAGAAAGGGGAAGGCACACCTGGCAGGCCGCTGTGACTGCTTCATCCCCCCAGAGGTGTGGACACTGAGGATCAGAGACGTTAAGGAAGGCTCTCAAATGGTCGCAGGCTGGGTGAGGCGTCCACTCACATGTGCTTTAGAAAGTGCCACCTCACTTAAAACCCAGCCGGGGTTCCTTTAGAAACCAAAACCAACTGTGCAGCTGGGTGTGGAGTCCTGCAGACTAGCATTTGTCCCCTAAAAGCTGCTCTCCTGGGTGCCACTTAATCAGCACCATGGACACTGGCTTTTACCTCACAAACTGCCGCATTAGTAGTTTTATCTTTAAATGCAAAAGGCTATCTAGTGGAAACTGGATTCCCCTCTGGATTCCCCCCTGGACCCACCATTAAAGGTGAGATGGTCCTGGGTGGCCACGCTATGATACCAAGCTACAGTTTCCTCCTCTGTGAACAGGGATCACCTCCCTGCACCTGGCTAGGTGACCACATTCACTGCCAGGTATACTCCTTCCTCTCCTGCTGGGTGCCTGCCTCCACAAGGGCTGAAACTCTGCTCAGTTTTTTCCTTCTGGACCCCAATGCCAGCAAAAAGTCTGGGATGGGGTTTCCCCACTGGCCTAGGGGTTAAGTCTAGGCACTATCACTGCCAGAGCTGATCCCCAGCCAAGGAGCTGACCCACATGGCGCAGCAGATCTCGCCTGTCTCCCCGCTGCTCTCCTCAGGAGTGTATGGGAGTCAACCCACCTGCTCTACTCCTCACTCTGTCTCCTCTCACCCCTACATGTGTGGCCTACACCCCAGTTCTTCTCTGCAAAGAAAACAAAAGTCTGGGACCATGTGAAGCTTGGCAGTAATGAGTGTTCAACAGAGAGGCACTGTCTAATGGCACTGTTAGTCCCACCACAGGCTACTGCTTCTGGAATGGCTTTTCCAGGCTGAGCATTCAATTCCCAAAGGTACAGCCAGCACACTTTGTTTGGTTTGCAAGGTTTAAAAGAAAGGTCAAATTAGCTATCGATCTTCACAAATTAGAAAACTAAGTGTAAAGCTCTTCAGCATCTCTTTTCTTTTCTTTTCTTTTTTTTTTTTTTAAAGATTTATTTATTTATGCATTCAGAACTGGGGTACAGGCCAGAGGTGCAGGGGTGGTTAGAGGATTTACCAGAGACAGTGGGGAACAGAACAGGCCAACGAAGTACACTGCTGAGGGGAGCAGCGGGCGGGTCAGGAGAGGTCTGCCGCGCCATGTGGGTCACCTCCGGAGCGGGGATCAAACTCATGCCGAAGCTTCTTAGTGCTGTGCTTTAACCCACTGCGCCACCAGGGAGAGCCCCTCTTCCGCATCTCTTTTAAAAAACCAGGGTATCAGCCACCACTGACTGCAGCCTAACAGCAGCTGCCCCCTGTAATGAGCGGGGCCCCACGGACCCCATGACTCTCTGATGTCCTCACCACTGCCTGTCAGTCGCCATGTGTTATGACGTGTACTGTGCTTTGTCCCTCAAATGGCTTCACTCATTTGCCCAATCTGCTGGCTCCGTGTGCACTGGGCCAACTGCTTACAGCAGTCGACGTGAGAAGAGGTGAGGACTCCCGTCAGCACCAGGCAGGGACCTATAAAGCAGGTCTCAAGGAAGCAAAAGGGCAGGACGTGGGGGTGACAGGCCCCACCTCACCGAGTAGTTGAGGACTAAATGAGTTAATATTTATAATCCACTTATAAAAAGACCGGCAGAGAGCAAGCGTGACGAATGTTTGTTCTTATTTTACCTCATTATCTTCTTTAATTCTGAACAAGAACAGCAGTTTCCTGGCAATCTTAAAAACAGAAAGTGCACTTCTTTTACTGGTCCCAGCTTCATCTGCTTTAAAATACTCATCGATCTCTCTCCTAGGGAGGGAAGGGTAAAGAAAAGGACATTTTAAATTAGGAACGCACCGCAGCTGGAAGGCTTTTCAAGCTCTATAAGAGAAAGCCTTTCCTTGCCATGAACAGGAAGCAGAGGCAAGACACCGAGGGGTGCCGGCACCCACCTGATCTCCTTCTGCAGTCGACTCCGACAGAGGAAACTCCGGACATGGGCCTGAATCTCCACTGCAGCCCGCTCCCGCTCCTTCTGCACAAGTCTTTCCTCTCGAGCCTGACGAGCCCTATCAATGAACCATGCTCTCGACGTTTGAGAAACAGTGAACATGTTTGCCAACTCGCACAAACCCTGCAAGGAAAATGGCGAGAAGCAGGTGGAGGCCATGCCACGGTAAACACACCGCCAAGGGGCTCAAGGGGGAGGCGGGCAGGGCTCAGGTGGCAGCAGCGAGCTGTTCGGCAGCACCTGCTCCCTCCCAAGTGCTAGCAGCTCTGCTGGCACAAGTCCCAGCTTCCTCCTTTCATGCAACTCACCAGCACCAGCAAAGCTTTTTCCTGTATTAAATAATTACATTTTCTTAGGAAAATGAGCAAAGGTCCTGCTTCAAGGCATGGGCTCTATAAAACAGTTCAACAAATAAACAAAGCATGAATGATCCCATGGCTGAAGCTCTAATTCAAGCCAGGCACCCACTAAGTCAAAGGCTTCTAAATGTTTGAATTTTCTGGAGCAGGCTACAATATGAGAAGCCAACACTGAGCGGTCAACTTTTCTTTTGCCAGGTCAAGACTCAAACGAAAAGAAAATCCAACATGATCGTCTATTGCCATTGTTATTTTATTCACCGGTTCACAACAACTAGTCCCACTTCCTGCTCAGAACAAAGTCTCTTTTTTAAAAGGCCATCTTAGCACTAAAGCAAAGCATGCTTGGTTCTAGAATGAAAGACAATCCACTAAAATAAATACATTTCATTTTGAATCTAGCTTATTCTAATTCCACTGTCTCCTCATGCCAAGGACAGATGAAGACTTTAGTAGAAGGGCTCCTGTTCACTGAAAGTCATTTCTTGAACAGAGGCTCTAAATTACCTATTTTTAATCTAAATCACCCAGTAACTGTCTTTCCCCAAAGAACAGCTTCGGCCAGCAGCCTAGTGTACCTAGCACCGGCCAGAGCTGTCCATGCTGAGATGTTTCCTCCAATCCTTGCCAACATTGTCATTCTATCCAAAATCTCTCATGATGAAAGTATAATAAATTATGCAGTAATCCAGATTGCCAGAAAAGTGTCTTTACTCAAAGAAGCATTATGAAGAATAAAAATCTTACATGAGGCTCCTTCCAAGTCAACATATGAGGGGCCTGTGTGTGGCCCCTTTCCACAAGGATTTACATCTATTAGACAGACCTTCGCTAACAAGTGTATCTCTCACCTGTAGGTCTTAAAACAAATGAACAAAGCCCACCTAGCTATTGCAGAGAGGGTAAAAAGACCAGTGTGAGAACGGCAGCAATCTTCTGAACATTCATTCTTTCTGCCCAGCAGTGGAGCAGTCTGGGGAGCTCACCTGAGGACCTGCCCGTGTTGCAGAAATGCCAGGTAATCATTAGTGATCTTGCATATAGCTCAGCGCTGGGTAGCTTCTCAGCTTGGAGAAACTTGTCTTTTTTGGTAGATGCAGAAGGAAAAAAAAAAAATCCAGATTCAGGGTTAAGTTTAATAGGTAGGGCATATATCTTTGTCACTAAGTATAAACAATTCAGTGTAGGCTTAAAAAACAAAACATATTAGATCGGACCTCCCTAGTCCTCACAGGTTTCACTGTTTAAAGGAGTAGGTTTAAAGTCCCAAAGAAGTTGCTGAAGGAATGCTCTATATACTTGGTGGTGATAAGCAAGAGTAACAGCGGGGATCGGAATATTAAAAAGTGATGAAAAATTATGTTTGATGTTTTTAACAGGATGGCAAATGTTTATGCCTTAGCAGTGCAAACAGGGCTAGCTGTGAACCCATGTGATCTTAGTTACTTAATGAAAAAGAGGTATGTGCACCAAGATACAAAACTCAGAAAATATACATGTTAAAGACAATTTGCTTTGAAGTAATGGAATTGTGGGAAATCTCGCTTCCTTAATTTCTTGCTTTCTAAACTTCTCACAGAAAGCACAACACTTTGATAGCCAAATGTGCCCCGAGGCCAGCAGTGTACGGCGGAGATTGCTCGACCTTTCTGTCTTGTTAACTGGCTGACTCTGACCATGAGGATGAAACAAGATGAGACCTATCAAGAGCCATGGGGGTGGCCGTCACAGCACCAAGTCAGTGAAGTCTAACTGATGTCTACTTTTACAGACACCTTTTAAAATAACTCTTCAGGGGGCCTCCCTAGTGGCACAGGGTCAAATCTCAGCTCTATCACTGCAAAGGCCCACCACAATGGCCTGAGTTTGATCCCCAGGCAGGGAGCTGACCCACCTGGCACAGATCTTTCATCTTACCCACTGCTCCCCTCAGCAGATTTTAGTAAATCCACCTGCCCTGCTTTCCTGTCTCTAATGAACCCTCTTATCCACATTTCTGGCCTATACCCCAGTTCTTCTACACAAAAATAATAAATGAAATCTAAAAAAAAAAAAAATACCCTCGTAAATAACTTCAGCAGAGGCTCCATCTGCACAGTCACTAAAGTTCTTTGAGTAGGAAATAATGACGGGACCCTCACATTCCTGAGTCACTGAATTTCTCTGCCCCCGGAAGCATGATGATCCACTAATCTTGCCACATGGGCTGAGCCTCTGGTGCTGTTTAGGATGAATAACAGCTTCAAGTTCAAAAGAGCAGGGCCCATGCGGCAGGGGGAGCAGAAGAGGAAGCGTCTTCTCGGTAGAAAAACAGGAGCTTCTATACTGTACTGTTAGGCTTGTAAAACTATCTCCAAACTTTCACTTCTCCCAAGGGGCCTTGCAGGGTAAAATCCTTTCCTTGAGATTATCATCTCTTCTCACAAAACTATGTTGGTTTCTGTTTACATCACAGGACAGGTCTATCCTTTGCTTTTAATTCTCTCTTATTCACCTTCTACACCCACACAGTCATTATAGTTCATCAAGCAGATAAAACACACAATCAGACATCTCTCTCCTAGGCAAAACGCCAGAGAATATTAAGGAAGAGGTTGTGTGTACCAGAAAAAGCCTTCATTTGGAGAAAGTAGCCCCTGGTTTTTAGTCCAGATTCTACTTCATTTGGCCAAGTTACTTATCCTTTCTAGGCTTCACTGTCCTTATCTGTAAACTGAGAATAACAGCAGTGCCTACATCCTAAGACTGCTAAAAGGATTACACTTGTGCTTTTGGTCAACATGATGCCATGATTACGATTAAATGGGCAAATATTACTAGTATCTGAAAGCAAATCACATGTAAGTGGTCTTTACTGTATTGTCACAATCCAGTTAGGGAAACGTGAAGGCTATAGGCGGAAAGATTAGTAAACAAGAGTTTGGTATAACCAAGATCTTTCAAAAAGGAAAACTTGTCAGGTACCCACTGGGTGGAAGTCCTTTTTAAGAGATCTTGTTTAGTGACAACAGCAATCTTGTGAGATCATCTAATACCCCCCACAATCCAGGTTATCTTCCACCGACCTTTAATAAGGGCAGAGCCATGATAGGGCTCTTCTCTATTTCTATAGTCTCAGGAGCTCTGGCAAAATCATTCTTTCCTGGATGATGCTAAATTCATGGAGGAAAGAGCATGGCAGTTTAGCCATATTGTCCTAATGTGAAGTGCCATAAATACCAACTGCTGGTCGAATCTCGAAGATTCTCCCAGTATGGTGGGAACAGCTGGGCAGCAGGATTAACAATCACGACCATCTGTTAAGGGCAGACCATGTACAGACACGGTGCCAATATCTGCCAACCTGTGTCTTCAACAGCTCCAGCAGATCTCAATAGTCAAATTTCTTAAGAATAGGTAACAGGGCTTAGATTAATAGTAATAACAGCTGTTATGTATTGATGACTACAGCGTACTGAGATGTGGGATATTATCAGTACCACCTTCACATGGAGTAAATGAAATGTAAAGAGGGGACATGATTTACTGGAGGTTGCTGGGCCCCTGAATTTGAACCCACATCTAACTTCAAAGCATTTATTTGTAAGTCAAAAAGCCAAAAACAAAACCCCGAGACTGCCCCACTCCCAGAACAGCAAGGACAAGCTGAGAATGCAAAGCTGCCAGTGAAACTAAATTAGAAATGACGACCAATTTTTTCTTTATTGTTACCAACACCAGCTGCGTTTATTGAGCGCTGAGTGTTGGGCACGGTACTAATACTTGTATTATACAACGTTCTTTGTGCAGGGAGCTAAGAACTCCATTTTACAGACCGCAACTGCGGCTCAGAGAGGTGAGGGGACTCACCCAAGGTCACACAGCAAATGAACAGTGCTCGAACTCCGGTTTGGGTGACTCCTGCGGCCCGGCCTCTTTCCTCGGCATCAACAATCACAATGACAATCCTTTTACACCCAGCCATCAGTCCATTTACAAAGGTCTATCACCCCAAAAATAAAACGTGGAAGGGCCCATGGAGCAATCCCCCCTGTAGCCTAAACGCCACCCCCTAGCAGCTTCTCCAAACAAGCGAGGTATGGACCGGGCCCAAAAGCCACCTCCCTCAAAATCCCCAGCCCACTACCCGGAGAACCCACGACCCTGTTCCCATTCGCTACCCGCAGGATGTAGACCTTTATCCGTTCGAGGCCCCAGCGCTCGTGGTCGGGGCCACAGCTACCGCCGCCTCAGCCCAATACCCCAGATAGCTGCCAGACCCCGGGCAGCAGCCGAGGCCCGACCGCCATCTTGCCCCGGGGTGTTCACTCTTAGAGTTCCGCCGGGAAGCAACAATCCAGTTCCGGAATACCACAGTTCCGCAGGGCTTCTTCGCCAGGAATGAAAACCTTCCTGCACTTTGTTGTCCTCCCTGGGGACACTCAGAAACGGGGTAACTGTCTCACCCAGCTTGGAGGAGCGGCAACTCACTTCAGCAGGGGAAGCTGCAAGGAATGCTGCCTATATCTAGGGGCACAACGGATGCTTTAGGACGGTGCCCACTGCGGGGCGGAAGTGGGAGTGTGAGCATCGGAAGTTACCGCCCCGTAACGCCCCGTCCCCTGCTCGCGCGAGCTGGGTGTTTCCTGCCTCTCTCAGTCCGGGTTTGGAGACTCCGGCGTTCTCCGGCTTTTCATGGTGAGGAAGGCGGTGCCCATCGACTGGGGTCTCTAAGCGCGGGGAAAGCTGAGTACCCGCAGAGTAGAGGGGGGAGGGGATTCGAGGAGCGGGTGGGGTAGGGACTGTCGCGATAGGGGAGAGGCAGTTGGAGAGTGGGTGGGGGCGAGGTCACGGGTGGGGGAAGGGCTTTGGTGGAGACTTGGGGGGGGTCCCTCACTGTTGGGGTATCAGGGAAATGGCGTTTGGTCTTGGGGAGTAGATTTGGGGTTGTCGGGGGTTGTCTTCATCTTGAGTATTTGTGGGAAATGGGAATTGGTGGTTGTGAAGAGAACAAAGACATGTCATTGAGGACGGACTTCGTCAGCGGGGGGCGGATTTGGGGTGTTGTGAAGGAGAATGAGTGGACCGCCAGAGGTGAAGGGGGGTTCCTTGGCGCGGAGTGCTAAGTCTTGGGAAGTTCGTGTTTGGAGTCGCTGGATATCTGGGAAGTTTGGAGTTGGGACTTCAGGTGCGTCTGACCCACGGCGAGTGGAGGAAAGAAATGGAGGGAGGGTGGGGGCGAGCGGCGCGCTTTCTATGCCTGGAACTCCGCGCAGGGATGCCAGGTGCCTGAGGTCAGAGACCATCTCCTCCGGGTTCTGCGCCTGGGAACCTCGCTGGTCACTTCCGTTGAGGCCCAGGAGGCCACACCTAAGGAATGGGGATGTCTCCCCAACTACGGGCAGTTTGTTTGCTTGGGCGCCTTCAGGGGTCTGTTCCTCAGGTAGCTCCTGGAGCAGGAATAGGAAAATTAATCAGCTCCGACCTTCCTTTTTTACTTGTTTGCGCCCGGTCTCTTCCCTGGAAAGTGTAATATGCTTTCCGGCGTGCCCGTTCTAGGAACTGTGCTGGAGAAAAAAAGGAGTCTGGCTGTCTGACTTTGGCTGCCACTTTTTGCATAACAAGGACCACCTTGAAGGAAGAAGGCTGACGCCTGTGCTCCTCAATCTGGTCCCCAAACAAACAGAAAATCACCTGGCCAATTTGTTAGAAAGGGCCAGATTTTTAGGCCCCATTGCCTGCTAAATGGGGGTGGGGGGGCGATCAATCTGTTTTAACAAGCTTACAGGGGATTAGAGTGATGTTTAAAGTTTCTATTATGTAATGAAATGGGCATGGATTTGGAGTGAGTGAGAGGACCCATAGTTCTGATTCTTAGTTCTAACTGTTGAAATGGTCAATAGCTTGTGCTAAATTCAGAATGGAATGTGATTCTCCAGGACACTTAAGAAATAGCAGTAGCTATCCTATATTTGTTGGATACAAAATAATGCTATAGTTATGTGGCTGGTTGAATTTAGTTTGGTTGAACCAACTAAATGAACAGACTTTTCTGAGTTGTAGAAATGCTTTCAGTTTGAGGAAGTTTTATAGTTAACCTCAAGGTAGCAGCTCTTAGCTTCTTGGCTTTTGGTTTGGGCTGCATGTTTAAGGCACCTGAAGAGCATTTTAAATATTAGTTACTGAGCGACCTCGCCCTCCCTGATTCGGATTAAATGGCCCAGGCATCAGAACTGTTTAAGCTGGTCAGTCCTAGTGCAGCAGAGGACTGCTGGTGTTGAGGAAAGCTTGGGGGGTAGATAGGAAACTACGTCAAGGCCCACGTGCCAGGTGCTTCAGCATACATTCTTGAGGATTATATGATTAACTCTGCATTTAACAAGCTAGGAAGCTGAGACCCAATTAAACCACTTGTCTGCACATCATAGATGAAGTGATGGAACTGGGACTGTACTTTGCCAAACTTGTTTTTGAACCTTAATCACACTCACATGCAGACATTTCTGCAGCGGTTGTACGGAAAACACAGGGTGAAGGATTTGGGGCCCTTTTCTTACTATACTATACTTCCTCCTTGGTCAGATTTTATTTTTGAAAGCATGCATAGTGGTGCTTCTGTCTCTGGCTCTGAAATTGTGGAGTTTGGTTTGATGTTTACGGTTTTATGTAGTCGGGAATTCACTGAATCAATAGAGTAAGGCTTGGGGAGCTTCTCCAAAACCATGAAAGTAGTTGTAGCCTAATTAAGGCATACAGAACTCTTTAAAACAGCAGCTTGCAGTCTTAGCTACATGTTGGAATCACCTAAGAAGTGCAAAATTCTGTGGCCCAGGCCAGTTATATCAGAATTTCTGTGGTTAAGACTCTGACATAGTTTTTTTTTTTTTACAGAACTGGGGTACAAGCCACAGGTGCCAGGGCAGTGAGAGGCCTCACCAGAGACAGAGTGGGGAGCAGAACAGGTAGATCTACCTAAGTACATTGCTGAGGGAAGCAGCAGGCTGGTCAGGAGAGGTCTGCAGTGCCACGTGGATCACCTCTGGGGCAGGGATCACACTGAAGCAGCTGTGGCCAGCCTGCAGTGCTGCGTCCCAATCCGCTGCGCCACCAGGGAGGGCTCTGACATGGTATTTTTAAGTAGAGAGCTGCTGTTTGGAATCAACAACTCCAGCAACATGGGAAAAAGGGAAACTTGACTTATCCATCTCACTGAGATAAGTATTTTTCCTGGTTGAATCAGTAACAAACACCTCAAATATTAACTACCTTTCCTGCTTCTTGTACAACGTTGCTCTTTCTCCTTCTGCTGCCCTAACCTCCTTAACAATGAAATCAAACCTTGAAAGAAAGTTAGAAAGTAGGCTTCCAGCAGGGGTAGCTGAGGGGTCCCCTTGGAGAAGATTGCAAGCCTTATGTTCTCAACTCACTGTAATTTGGTCCCAGGGCCATTTACACAACTGGAACCCCCTTTTTCCGAGGGCCTCTCCTACTCCCTTTGGAAGGCTGGGTTCTGGAAAGGTCCAAGACTATGTATTCTGAAGTGCCAAGCTAGATCAGGATGTTCTGCCTTTATCCCTCGTAATGCAGTGATGTCAGGAGGGCTGGAAACAGTCTTCAAAGAGAAGATAATTTGAGACTTTGAGAGCATTCTCAATCATAGTTTGAGAGTTTCATGTCTGAGTGTTTGCTCCAAGCTGGGACTGTGCTGAATGCTCTCTGCAGCCACTGTTGTGATCACTTGGTAGGTGGGACTAAGGTGACTGACCCAGACTCCTACTGTAACTTAAGGGCAGGGCCAGGGCTGACTTCCAACCGAAGCCCTTAGACACATGTTACTCCCCATCTTTTTTCAGAATTTTGTTCTTACCTTTTTTTTTTTTTTTTAAAGATTTATTTATTTATGAATGCAAGAACTGGGGTACGGGCCAGATGGGTGTGTGAGGGCTCACCAGAGACAGTGGCGAGCAGAACAGGCAGATGTACAGAAATACACTGCTGAGGGGAGCAGTGAATGAGACAGGTCTGCTGTGCTATGTGGGTCAGCTCCCATGGGGCTCCTGCTGCAGTACTTCAGATAGCTTCATAGTGCTGTGCTCTAACCCATTGTGCCGCTTAGGGAGGGTCCGGTTTTGTACTTTCTAAAGGTGTGTTTGGGGGGGAGAGTGCAGTCCTTCTTTCTCAGTTTGTATGTCACAGCTCTTTAAACCAAGAGTAACCTTTGATAAAATCACGGGCTTTGGGCCAGCAGGACTTGCCCACATCCTTCATTTCCTCCATCAGAGAGCCCCCCCCCCCCCCCCGTCACTGACTCACTTTGGGAAGTGACTGAACTCTCTGGGCCTTGGTGTCCAATATTCACCAAGTGGGAATAACAATAACCATCTCCCAGAATTGTTTGCATTTGAAATGTTTGTACGTGACATGAAATGAAAACAATAATACCTTCTGTGGTGAGGGGGAGTGGGAAGTAGGCATGGAGGGGCTCTTTGGAGCCAGGAAAATATTCTCCAGCTTGATTGGAATGGGGGACACACAGATGCATATATCACCCCAAACTCACCAAGCTGCACTTCTAAAATATACTTTATTATGTACAAATATCTTAGAAACAGTGTCAGAAAGCAAAGAAAAACCCCAAAACCATAACATACTTTAACTTAATACCATAGGTACCTTACAAAATGCTAGACCATTTTCAAAAACCTTAAGTGTTTTCCCTTTTGGGGCAAATTTCCTTAACTCCCCACACCACCCCTCAAAAGAAAACCCCATGGCTGTCCACCTTTTTTTTCCTCTTGAGGGCTTCAATGTTATTTTAAAATTTCTGTTCCCATGAGCTGCTGGTATCCTGTGGACAAAGGGTTTTTCTTGGAGAAATGGTTGGTACAAACTGCTTGTGTTGGGCTCTGGGGACTGGCTGCAAAGGAGACCTGGAAGGGAGGCTCACTGCTCCCTCTTGGTTTTTTTCTTTTGTTTGGCCTCAAGCAGCAGAGACCCCAGGTGAGCTAAGCCTGAGCGTTGGAGAGTGCAGTTTTCACTTGAGGAAGCAGGGTGGCATCCCTAAGAAGACAGTCGTTTTCCAGGCTCTCCTTCCTGTTTCAGCCAGTCCCTGCGGCTGGGGCTTTGGAGGCCACTCTTCAAGAGGGGTGGAGATCGAGAGGGAGGTTTTACCTCTACGGTTACTGTGGATAACAGGTTGCCACCCTTAGTCCCCATCTTCTTAATGAAAGAACAGCTGTGTTTTTTGCCTGGTAAGGATGTAATGTATACTCATTGTGGAAAGTCTGAAAGAGACCAAAAGGTATAAAAATTTTGGAAAAATAATTTTTTTCAATACTAGGAAATATTTTTTTTTTAAGATTTATTTTATTATTTATTCATACAGAACTGGGGTACAGGCCAGAGATGCGGAGGGTGAGAGGATTCACCAGGGACAGACTGGGGAGCAGAACAGGCAGATCAGATCAATGAAGTACACTGCTGAGGGGAGCAGTGGGCGGGTCAGGAGAGGTCTGCCACGCCATGTGGTCACCTCCGGGGCAGGCGGGAATCGAACTCATGCAGAAGTAGCTTTTAGCTTCTTAGTGTGGTGCTTTAACCCGCTGCGCCACCAGGGAGGGCCCAGGAAATATTTTTTAAAAATTTATACTGTCGGCCCTCCCTGGTGGCGCAGCGGGTTAAAGCACAGCACTGAGAATCTGAAGCCACTTCCGCATGAGTTCGATTCCCGCCTGCCCCGGAGGTGACCACATGGCGCGGCAGACCTCTCCTGACCCGCCCACTGCTTCCCTCAGCGGTGTACTTCGTCCATCTGCCTGTTCTGCTTCCCGCTCTGTCTCTGGTGAAGCCTCTCACCGCCCCTGAGCCTCTGGCCTGTACCCCAGTTCTGTATGCACAAATAAATAAATTAATTAAAAAAAAAATTTATACTGTCAGTTCCTTCCAGCCAAAACCACAGGAACATATCTCTGGTCAAAGTTGGATTTATTGTTGCCTTGAGATCTGTGGGGTGTCTCAACGGATTTGGGCTCGCACTGGGTGATTTAGGGGAGGATTTGTGGGAGTGGGGTTTGGCTCTGCATTGGATGCTGTCGGGAAGCAAGGCTTATTCTCTGACTGGGTCTCCATAGTTCCAGTTTTGAAGGTGGGAAGAATGAAATGGAAGTACAGCTCTAATTTGTAAAGAAGCTGCAGTGACTTATAAGCTAGGATAGGGAGTATTTGGTCATTTAACTTTGGACTGAGTCCTTGTTTTTTTTCATTGTTCAAGCTTAATTACCACTGGGTCTTGTTTGGGTCTTACCTGGTGAGAGTGGCCCTGTCTGATGTTTCGTGAAGTCTTTCAAGTGTCCAGTGGGAAGCCCGAGGCTTAGCAGTGAGCGCCGGGCCAGCACCTGGCTGCAGGGGCCTCTTGCTCAGCACTCCGTCCCAGAGTTAGCAAAGATCCAGCCGGTTCTTCACCATCTTCCCCAGCTGTAGAATTTTACTTCGTCACAAAGGAATGTTTTCTTTGAGTACACATATGCCCACATACCACCTGCTCCTCGGCTGCTCAGGCCAGGCACTGCTTGCCTCTCTTGGCCGGGGTGTGCCCAGGAACTGGCAGTGATGCTGGGGAGACTTGCAGGATTTTGCTGGTGGTGCCAGTACAGAAAGTCTCTGATTTTGAAATAACTTGCTTCTAAGGGTTTTTCTGTCACTTGGTCCTCAGAAACAGCTTTCTCCCTTAGGACGTATTTGGAGTGGTAGTGAGAACCCATGTGGCTTCATAAAAACTTACTGCATGTGTCATTCAGCCAAGGTGGCGTTTTAGCTGTTAGCAGTGGTGCACAACAATAAGGAAGCAGACCTGGGCTGTGTTTAGGCTGTTTAGGATGGAGCCAGGGTGTTGGTTTTTATGGGTAGTGGGCAGAGAGGAGTCCTCGTAACAGGAGTTCGTCGTATACTTGTGCTGGAGGATAAGCAGGTGAGGTCGGTGCATGAGGCTAGCTGGGTGTGCAGTCAGGGGCAGAATGGGAAAGGCCTGCCCTTCCGGGCAGCCAGTACCCCATGACCCTTTGGCCTTGGTGTTAAGAGACACCAAAAATTCAAGATCTCTCTGGGAATTCTAAGTTTTCAGCACATGCTTGGCTTAAGCAAAACAGAGCTCAAGGTCTGATTCAGCTCATGGCTGAAAAGAGGCATAGCAGACCTGGTGCCCTGACCCTGGCAACTCTCTCTTCTCCCCTGACAGGAAGAGATGTCAGGAGAAAGTGTGGTGAGTTCAGCGGTGCCGGCGGCTGCTACCCGCACCACTGCCTTCAAGGGCACGAGCCCCAGCTCCAAGTACGTGAAGCTCAACGTTGGCGGTGCCCTCTACTACACGACCATGCAGACGCTGACCAAGCAGGACACCATGCTGAAAGCCATGTTCAGCGGGCGCATGGAAGTGCTCACCGACAGCGAAGGTAGGCGCCCTCCAGGCCAGGGCTGCCCCCGAGGGCCTCCTCCAGCCTCAGAAGACCAGCAGTCGCGGGGCAGTAGAGCACACGGCTGCAGGTTCTGGTGGTGCTGGGGCTGTGCTCATTCTGTGCAGGAGACCAGATCTAGTCTGGAGTTTGTGGTGAGGAAGCTTCTCTGGGGAAGTGACTTTAAACTGAGCCCTAAAGACAGGTGGCATCACCAGACAGTGATTTAGAGTCCAGTTGGCTGTGACTGTGAGAAAGTCACTTGCCCACTCTGGACCTCTGTAAAACAGATGCTGGACTCGCTGCCATGCTTGGCTCCCTCCTAGCTCGCTCACGGTGATCCTGTGGTTCGCAGAGTCAAACTCAAGTGTGAGGGCATGTGTTTTGTCTAGATCCTTGTCATCTTACTCAGGGGTCCCGACAAACTCATCTGGATTTGTTTCGCTTCCCCAGTTGGTGTCTGGTGATCTGATCCTGACTAAGCGGTTTAACCTGTTGTGTCTCATTTTCCCCAACTGATGATATGCACAAGGATCCCTTCTCACCTCTGTGGGGCTATTGGTACATAAAAAGTAACTAATACCTGTATATTCTGTATACCTTTTTTTTTTTCTTATGGAGAGAAAAAGGCAAGGAGCTACTTAAAGTGGTTTTAACTTAACTACTCCCAACCAACCTGGAAAAATCAAAATGTACCTGGCAAGTGAGGCCATCCTAACTGGCTCTTATAGGGTGGCTAGTGGCACAAAATTTGGCATGAAGTTAAAAAATGGCCCTGTCCTTCATTCCTTGGCCTAAGAATACTTCAGATCAGACCAGAGCCTGGTGTAAGCCACCCTCATCTATTCTGTGCTGATGCTGCTTCCTTTCCAGGAGTCGGTGGTTGCTCAGAGGAGGGGCAGGTTGACACAGACGGGGCTGGGCCCTGAGCTGGGCCTGCACTATCCCTCTCCTGCCTTGAGAGGGCTGCCCCTGCTTGGGTGTTCATGTCCACATCCTGGAGGCCAGGCTGCAGGGCTTGAGATTCTGCTTCCCTGGCTTCCTGTGAACTCTGGCTTCTGGCCCAGCAGCAGCTGTTGCAAATAAAGTCGGGTCCCTAGAGCGGCCTTCTGTGTCTCATCCAGAAGAAGCCAAGTTTTTATGAGTGGGAGGGTCCCCCTTTTTTTTTTTAATATTTTATTTTATTTTATTACAAAGTTGGGAGGGTCCCCTTTACTGTGCCACACACAGCAGCGCCTGGGAGTGTTTGTGGAAATCAAGACAATTGCATCCCAGCCACAGAAGGAAGGAGACCTTATCTGAGAACCCAGGATGGTTGTAGCTTGTCTCCCGCCCTGCCCAGTCTCTGGTGGGGCTCAGGAAATGCGCGAGTTGCTTTGGCTCCTTGAAAGCCCTGGCTTCTGTCGCCTGCCCATGCCATGCTGCAAAAGAGGCCGTCCTCAGGCGCCTGCTAGGACCAGCACGGGCGTGCTCCACGTGGGCATCTCTGGTCTCAGCAGCTGCATGATGTCCACCTGGTGCTCCTGGAAACGCCGAGAAGCAGTGCTGTCTTTGGGCCTCCAAGCCTCTGCCATTTCCATTTTACAGAACTCCAGCCCCCTTCCTCATGAAAAGCCCACAGTATGGCATTTTGTGGTTGTTAATTTTATTTAAACCTCACCTTAACCCTTGGTGACAAATAAGAAATAAGAAATTCAGACTCAGGTTGTGTTTACAAAAACGACAAATAAGAAATTCAGACTCAGGTTGTGTTTACAAAAACGGCGGTGGGAAAGCTGCTCACTGGCTATCTGCTGTCTGTGGTTTGATGTGGGCCCAAGCCAGGTCTCCTGAGTGCCACAGTCTTAGGGTTCAACCAGTAACTATGCCGAAGCCCCTTCAGGGTTCCCTGAAGGCTTGGGCTGTCAGGCTGTGTCTTGTCTTCCAGTCTGTACCAGTGGGGCAGTCCCATCGGCCCTGGTGAGTGCCCTGCCCAGGCAAGTGACTGGTGAGCGCTGGAGCACAGGTGCTCTGAAGGCAAAGCGGCCTGTGGTGTGGTAGAAATCTCTGGAGGAGAGCTTTAGAGAACCCAGGAAACTGATGGCCTCTGAGGAGGTCTAGGGTGAGAGACTGGCTGAAGACTGTGCCCTTCTGCCTGGTGAGAACTTGTACATTTCAGTGAGAACGTGGGTGCTGAGAGAGCTCTGGGGTGGAGTCCTGGCTCTGTCATGGGGCAGCGAGAGGATATTTATGAAGTGATTTCTGTGTGCCGGGACTATGCTAACTAGGTTCATTGTGTGGCATTGGCTGAGTGACTTTCTCTGAGCCTTTTCCCCCTTTTGAATGTATGAACAATAATACTGCCTTTCTCAGGGTCATTATGCGGATTAAATGAGGGCGTTAGCAAGCACTTGCTAAAGTAGGGAGACCCAGTAAATGAGGAGTGCCCACTGTTGCCTGCTTTTGCCTGGGTGCATGTAGGGGAACAGGAAAGCACGGTGGGGGGCTGTTCTCAGTGGTGAGTTGGGGAAAGTGGTCTGCCTCGGCTTTGAGGGTCGGGTGTGCTGCAGTTCCAGGCTGCCAGGCAAAGAGAGTTTTTCTGAGAGGACTGGTGTGCTGGCAATGTGCTCAGGCTCCTTGCCAGGAAGGCCCAGTCTTTACAGCGCCAGAATTTTCCCCTGAGCCCCTGGGAGTGCTGTCATTGGCCATAGTCTGAGGAGTCTGTGGTGAGAATTCCATCTAGCACTCATCTGTAGCTGCCCAATACAGCGCTTCCTCTTCAGCGGTCTCTTGTTAATGTGTTTGGAATGAGGCAGTCTATCAACTAGGTTAAATGAGTCATTATTGTATCTGCA